CGAGATATGATAGCTGTTCGGTCCAAGGCCAGCGCGCAGCCTGGCAGAGCCAGATAAAGCGTAGGATCGTCCAGCTGCACGACATTCCTTGCCACTGGATAGTCACGCTCGACGATATCTGACCATTCTTGCTTGCTCGTCTTTTGTGTGCGCCTTGAGTCTCCGGTGCTTGTTGATTGGCTCGGTACCGCTTTGTCTTTTTGGATCTCAGCAAGCTTGTTGCGATGAGCACGAAACCGCTGAAGGAGCATCACGTGGCAGCTCTCCTGTGGGGCGAGGTCGTGTGAGTCTCCGTCCCAAGACTCTAGGTCAGCATTGCATCTGCTGTCCACGGCGATATAGGCTCCATCACTGTATAGAACAATTTCTGCATCAGCCGTGTCTCTGCGGGCTGCATGCTCATCGTCGTACGAATCGCTATCGGCTTCATTGGGTTTGTTCGAGGCCACAAGGAGGGTAGGGATGGTGGATGCTTCGGATCTAGTCCCTGAAGGTAAGCTACAAGCTCGGCATGGAGGCAGCTTTTCCGCAAGGGATGCGCGACGCAGCACTTACCTGACACTTTGAAGGTATGCCAATGCTTCGCCAGTAGACTCGTCTGACAGTTGCTCCTCTCCATCAAGTCCTGGTAGCACCGTCTGGATACCGTGCTCTTGGTATGCCTGAGAAGCGCGCGACCTCCCTTTATAGTTTTGAACACTGCCATCGTTCCTCAGACGTTTGTTTCCCGATTCATCGTTTTGGTCGCGCTTTCTTTTGCTGTTGGTCACTGCTGAGGATGAGACTGCAGCTAGCGGTGGTGGAGTCGACTGCGTTGATGTGAGGTAATCGGAAGGTCGCTGCAACTTGTTATAAGTCTCGCCGTCTTTCGTAACGGCCAAGTTGACTCCCGAGTTTGCCATGCTGGCGTTAGAGGTTGATAGCAACCAAGCTCAGTTTGGGCTGAAAAATAGACTCAGTAGTAGTAGTAGTAGTAGTAGTAGCAACCAAGCATTACATGCAGGTACCAAGTTGCGGAGATGTAAGCGGAGGTGAACCGTATCAGTCTAGCGTGGATTGGTGTACACGGATCGTTCCGGCTTCAATGCTGATCACCTGGGCACCTGGGTGGGCATCGCCATTGCTTTAGCCACTTATGCGGCTTTCGAGCTTGGCCGCTTACATTAAGCTCCCCTTGCTCCGATGCAAAAGTCTGTGTCGCGCACCAATATTGCTGACGTTTGTTCAAGCCTTGATCCATCACGCTTTTGGGTCATCTAATAAAACAATATTATCATATTACGTCTAACTATGCGTCCAGGCTCAATGTGACTTTATTACCACTGAGACCTTAAAAGTTCTTCCATCTATACAATCTTGTTGTGGGGACACACCTTCTTGTCAGGAACTTGACTAAGTACCATCACCATTGACCCCGAGACCAGATCATCACTGGCCCTTCCTCTCCAGATTCTCTTTTACTGGCTGGTAAGGGTACTTGATCGTGAGACACCAGATATCGAGATAATCGCAGATAGTCCAGATAACGTCTACGATGAAGCTTCCGTGCACACCTACACTGAGGCCCAGGCACATGAAAACAAAGGCGACTTGATAAACATCGTTCCCGAGAGCACTAGGCCAACCCACACCAGTGTGCTCTTGCAACCATGGGCCAAGGGAGTCGATAACACCATAGATGAGAGGGTAGATCAGTACGTTGCCTCGAGGAAAGCGTGATTTTGTAAGATGACTGATGATGATGCGGCCCACGGAGTAGGCGTTGACGAGACCTGCGTAGAAGATGAAAGGTACCAGATGGTGGTGCAGGATCACAGGCTGCAGATACAAGTACGCAGGGATGAGTATCCAGGCGGCTGCAAAGGTGAGAAGTCCGAGTAAGGCAACGCGCGTCTTTTGCCCACGGGCACGACGCGCCTTCATGACGTTTGTTGCACTGCAACCCAGTCAGTATATTTTGCGCCATTTTCTTGATTGTTTCTTACCTTGAAACTGTGTTGAAAACCAAAACAGCACCTCCATAGACCATGTACCATTCGTTCCATGCCATGTTGAACAGAAGCTCCGGAATAACATCATTCTTCTTAATACCAAGGCTTTGGAGCATGGAGCGCTGCCAGAAACTGCCACCGCCGAGAAACGCCGTCGATGCATATATAATGCAAAGTGTCAGGATGCCCTCCACGGGCCCAGAGATGACGCCCAGGGTCAGGGTATGTGTGTGATACTCATCCCAAGTCTGCACATAAAACGTCATGGAAGCTTTGAGAGTCAGTAGTGTCCTTGACAATAACAATGAATCATGGATGCTGGCTTACATGCAAAGAGCGTTAGGACTGTTTTCCAGCCTTGGCCCAAATTCATTGTCGCGGAAAACAGCAACACCTCTAGAGTAGTATTGACCGCATCGACCCCATGATCGAAAAGTTCGCCCAGTGGACCACTCTGGTGAGTCCTTCGGGCCTGGCTTCCGTCGACGGCATCAAAAGTTTGGTACAAGAAGAGGCCAATCGCCCAGCTAGCGTACACCCATGGTGGACAGTCCTGATCGAGAGTCGGGGTATACCAGAGTAATGTGAGGAAGTTCATGACAATAAAACCAAATCCAGAGAGCGTGATCTGCATTGTGACGACGTCAGTTATAGCAGTGTAAAGGGTGTATATGCGAATTGAGATGCGGGCTACCCGTAAAGTCGCTCAACGTCGATCGAGGGGATCGGACTCACAAGGTTAGGCCTAGAATATTAGCACTTGTCAGGGAAACAGTGTAGAAAACTTACGCCATCCACATAGGAAAACATTTGATGACCACATGGGTGTAGAAAGGCTTGAGGACATGTTGCGAGAGCAGACTGTGATCCACACCAGAGTATTTGTATTCTTTGAGCTTCGGTAGCTTGTCTTGCCGTATGTACACCATCTTTGAGATGTATCTCTGCACTTATGCGGGGTTGGCAATTTTCGTTGGGGTGACTGCAGACAAGACAATATCAACGCTTTGTTGGCATGTGGGAGAGAAGAGGCCCGAGCTTGGAATCAGACCTATGACGTCGGCCGCTGCTCCGGCCTGTTTTCACTACCACCAAATATGGACGGGCACGGTATCTGTGCGGTGACTTCCCACATCATACAAGAAAGTGTGAGCATCGCATCGAGAGAGTTGATCATCGGTGTTTTTTTCTTTCTCATGAATCATATCATGTGATTGCTATGGTTAGGTACATGATCATATGCGCAGCCTTGTCTCTATTCTGCGATAACAGAGTGGCTGCCCTTTATTTTACACCTCATCCACCGAGCTGACTAGTATCCTGCTGGAAACTTATGACGGCTATATTTTCCATCTGCCTATGACCGTGCATCGCGTTTATCTTCACCGAACAATGTCCGGCCGCCAAGTAATTGCAGAGCCAGTGTCTTACTTGGGCCCGACTGATATTTAGGCGACCGTGCTCCAAGAACAAGGCATGAGTATCCTGCTCTTCATGGTTTGGATGAGCGGTACAGTCTTGTGCACTGTTTCGCCCCAACCTTCCACACTCCAACTCTGTTCGCGACGAATCCTGCGTTCCTCTAGGTTCGCAAACTGCCATAAGTGGTGAACAGTGTTCAGATCGCCAATCTGGACGAACCAAGCACCAACGCCTTCCATGACCTCTCGTCGAGCTTTCAGGCCACGTCGCCAGTGAGTCTCCCACTCGAGTAGATTGCCTGGGTGCAGTGTGTACGAGCGGAGTTCGAATATACCGCCGAGCTGACGAGGCGGTGTCGTTGGCCAGAAGGAGAATTCTTGCATGAGTGATGTGTGCTTGGAGCTGATCAAGGTCTTGAGTTTGGCATCAAAGGCAGGGAATTCGGGGTGAGACTGAATATTGTGAAGCGATTCGTGATATCCCTCGTAGCGTTGGTACTCCCAGATGTGCACTGTTCGGCCTGGTCAGTGAATGCGAGAGGAGCATGGGTTCCAAACGATGTACAATCTTACCGAAGGTGTTGCAGTCGCCGACCTCAGTCTTCCAACTCCCTACAAGGTGGACTTTGTTCTCGGGAATGGAAACCATCTTTGAATACCAATTGCCCACCAGCTCGGTGTACTCGTCGACCTTGTCTGGCTTTACCGTATGAAACACAATCGAGTGAACATACTTGCCCCGAGCCAGGACCTGAGAGAAGCTGCGCTCAATGTCCTTGTCAAGCTCGCGTCCCTCGGGTGTTCCGTAGATGAGAGAAGACAGCGCACCGCCTTTCTTCTTGCTGTTTTCTTCCTCTCGGGCCCGGGCTTCTTCTATAATTGCACGTGTCAGCAGATTGGTCTCTTGATGATTTGATCGACGTGTCACGCACTCTCTTCTTGTTCCTTTCGCTTCTGTGCAGCCACCAGACCGTCGCGGAAGCTCTTCTGCTTTTCGTTGAAACTCGCGGCACTGTCGGGCGTGATATCGGCAATTGCAGGGGCTCGAGCTGGGCTTTGCGTCACAGCCGCAGCACCAAAAGCCCGAGAACGGAAAGCGATAGCAGGTTGCGGGGCGAGGATGCCGCGCACGCCGGCACAAGCACGACGTGTGAGCATGGTGGAGGGGTGGGATCGAAAATGGTACTCAAGTGTCAAGCGTGTTTATGATAGCGTAGGAGAATCAGTACAGTTGAGCTGACCGGCGTAGTGGTGTTTCAATGCTCGATCCGTGTGATCTAGAGACCACCAGCTTCCCCTCATTGAACTGGGGAGCTCTCCCTGTCAAGCTAGCTAGCGCGCCCGGGGCACTGGGGTAACTGCGCCCCACTGCAAACATCTCCGCCTCCCGCCAACTGACAGTCCACCCGGGTGTCATAAAATACTTGACATACTAGTTTACAAGGGCCACTATAGTCGCCAGACACGCCTATTAGAAGTATTTTATGACACCAAGGTGAGTCTGTGTCTGAAACACTTGCTCATGACTGCATGTGCACGCAAGCGCACACGCGTTACGGGTCTTCCCAACCAGACCGACATTCTGCATGCCCCCAGGTATGGCTATACTGGCGATTTGAACACGTGAGATCACCTGCTTCATTTCGGACGTCGCATCGTACAGCGCTCTAAATAATTCGATATTCCAACATCCGCCTTCAGGCGCCACTACTTGTGATTCGGTCCTTCTTCACAACATGCCGTGACGTCGTCTTTGGTTGTGCAGTTTCCGACCCAGGAAATTCAAAATTCAATAACCAAAGACCCCTACGGACTCGCCCCGACCTCAACCCCAGCCCGTGTAATCTATCGGCGATGTGCAACCCCCTTGTAGCACGTTGGCCTTGATAGCTCCAGCTGCTTGACATCTGCACAGCTGGCCACTTTGCTACACAGCGACCATACCCAAATGCATTGGCTGTGGATAGTCGCGGGGAGACATGTAGCAGAAAGGTTTAGATAATTTCACTTTAGTGTGAGCTGTGATGTGTAGCGACAGATTCGTACAGCGTCGAGGCTACAAACAACGCCATCAACTTCACACATTGTCTAATCCTCATCGAAAATTTGGAGAACATTGTCAAGGATCGTTATGACTACACGGGCTTGTAGGCCTGCGTCGGCCATGTTGTTGCCTTTGTGGGGTCCCATTATAGACGGTCTGTATCATGTCAGCACTATGGTCAGCACTCGGCGAATAGTTGACTTACGCCCAGCAAATTCCGAGGTTCGCAGTACTCATGCGGTTGACTTCGGATGATTGTTGAACCCGATGCAGATGCAAAACGAGAGCGCGCAGCGTTGCGTAGTTTGGATCGGGGAGAGCATTGATCAGTGCATGCATCGAGTCTCGCCGCATAGTCTCATCGTCAATTCGTGCAGCGTCAATATACTTGGAATAGAATTCCCGAGTAAGAAGTGGATCGGGAAGCTCGCGGAAAAACTGCTTCAACAGTCCAGCGACGCTATTGACATCCTGCTGAAATGTTTCTGGATTGCGGAAATCCACTTGGGATGCATCTGGAACCCGTTAGCTAGGCTTGTTACGAATTATCATAATAATAGCATACCGCTGTCGAACAGAGCCTTCAACTGTTGGATGTGTGAGGAGGTGCCGGGGATGCGATAGATGCCCTCTACCTCCAACCCATACAGATCTACAGCCTGGATGCACTGATAGACTACCATGGGTACTGGAGAGCCATCGCGGCGGAACAAATCTTCCAATGTGACGCCAAACACAGGATTGACGGGGGGCTGACTACTGTTGTAGAGCACGCCACTGGTTTGCTGTGCTGTGGCCTGACCAACTGGTCCACGAGGGTAGTCTGGTTGTGGAAAAGGCTCCGGAGCGGCAGGTGAGTACGGAGAATTGTTGTAAAGCGGCGCATGGGCATGCTGGGATTGCGTCTGCAGCGCAGAAGGCGGTGGTTGGGAAGAGTCGAGATTTGGAGGGACTTGTGGCAGAGACAATGGGGGGTTGGCATCTGACTGCGGGATTGAGAAAAATGGTGGCGGCTGGCTCTGTACCTGCGCCGGGGCCTGTCGATTCATGCTCACAGCCGCTGGGGGTGTTGGATGTGACCGTGTCGGGGCCTGTGTCGGGTGTTTGACGTACTGCAGTTCCGCCTTGGATAAGGGAGCCTTGGAGGCATGGCTCAGGATGTACTCATCAAAGTCGCGCTCGTTATTGATTTGGTAGATGAGCTGATTGATGCTCGGTGAAAGCTGGCTAGTGGAGCCCTTGAGCGGCTGAGGGCTTACAACTTGGCCGTTGTTGACTACTAGCTTCTCATTGAAAGAGGCTGCTTAGATATCAGTCGGTGTTCGGTTCGTGTGCAGGACAAGATACGTACCATATTTCTGCATCTCCATAGTCAGGGCAGCGTCGGTTTCCTTGATAAGATCCAGGAGCGCAGCGACGGCCTGGGGACGAGTAGTGGCTACAAGCTCTTTACGTGACGTCTGCGCCGTTTGCACCTTGCTGGCGTAGTCCTGGTCGGCTGCCTGCGTCTTGCGCTGCAGGTCCTCCTCGTGCTGAGCCGCCGACTTGGGCCCCTTGAGGCCAAACTTCCTGCCCGCGCCCGTGTCGCCCGTCTTGACGCGGTCGAGATCTTCGGCAAGCTGGTCGTACTTGGCCTTGGCCTTCTCCGCCAGCCTTTCGGCGTCCTGGACCTTGTTCTCCGCAGTAAGGCCCTGCTGTTTCCACGTCTTGCGGTTCGCCTCCATCTTATTGGCCATTTGCAGCAGGTTCTCGTGCATGGCGTGCAGTGCAAGGCCAAACTGGGTGCCATTGTCGGCGATGCGCTCGTTGGCGTGGAGGACCTGCTCGAACTGTGTCTGGTAACTCTCATGTCGCGTGTCTGGCTTGCGCACCCCGTCCAGCGTCAGGCGACTCAGCTTCTTGAGGCTGCCCGCATGTTCCTCCTCGAGCGCACCCCGCCGCTTGAGGAAATTGGCAAAGTCCTACCATGCATGTCAGCACGGCGCCCGCGCCTTTGAATCTAGGGGGGCTACTAACTCTGGCGCTCGCAATGCTGGCCTTGAGCCGATTCAGCAGCGTCGCAACGCCTATATCCGAATACAGTACATCGTGCACTCTCTGCTGTGTCTGCGCATCCGGGGGCCCCGTCCGCTGTTCGGGCCATGCGGGAGCCGCGTCTTCCATGGGCGAGGCGAGCGCCGGGGCGCCTTCTTTAGGCGGCGTGCCTGCCATGTTGAATTCAGGGTTGAAGCTCTCGCTGCTCTCCATGGGCGGCATCATGGGCGGTGCAGCCATCTTGGGCGCTGTTCTGATATCAAGAATTGTAATTAGTACTGCTGTTGGTGTCGTCGGGATACAGTACGCGCATCGCCGGCTGAGGCGGAGACGATACCTGCATGCATGCTGCACGGACAATGCCAACGTCATCCCTCCCGCTGTCAAGCTCTGTCCATCCATCACTGTCGTCCTACACTGCATCCCTTTCCTCTTGCCCCGCCTACTACTGCCACTCCCTTAGTCTACGCCCGCCATGTCAAACGCCTTGCCGGACGAGGTCATCACCTGTCTCCAAAATGCTCGCTTTGTGAGTGCTTCCCAGCCACATCCGTCTTTGTCTCCACCTCGTCAAATTAGTCTCTTTAAACTAGTCTCTTCAAACTCATGTGCATCTATATAATCCTCGATATATCATATCCCCTGATATCCTCTCAAGTTCTTTCGACCTTATCACCCCTGCATTCCCGTCCCAACTGGCAAAACACGTGTTTGCAGTCACTTCATAAATACATGGCTACAATATCTGCCATCTTACTTTGTTCGTTCTAATGCACCAGCAGCTTCATCTCGCAACGTGCTCGGATAATATTCCCCATGTCTCTCTGATGAACTACACCTACCTACCCAGCACGCCTTACTGCTCAAGTCCCATTATCATCATGACAACCCCCTCATCATCTCGCAAGACACAAAATTTAGAGTCCAATTCCCTCGTTTCTCTCCTAGTGCACGATTGGGTGTCACACCGTCCGCCCACTCTCAGCCAGCCAGGACGTTCGCCATCGCCATCGCATCCAGCACCCCGATCTGGCTCACTTGCCGAGCTTCTCCTCGGAATGAACACTGCTTCATTGAGCCGAATCAGTACTACCATTAACGGTGTTGCTGAGCTTGTACCCTCGGGGACCGAAGAGGAGACTTGGTACAGGGCCCAGCACGTAGCGAACAATACCTTTAGTCCCGGTGGAGAAGATACTTACTCAAGCTCCCCAGTTGGACAAGGTTTGTGGGGAGGTGGCGGATTAGGTGCTGGGATTGGAGGTGATGAAACTCCGAGGGAGGGCGATGGCGGCACCAAATGTTATGTCGAAGGAGCAGAAGTCAGAGTTGTAATTGTCAAAGTTCGTGGTGGGAGGATCGCAGACTGGAAAGGTCAGGTGAGGGATTGGGCTGTTGCTATTCATATCGACAGCCAGGAAGCGACTGGCACCCGATCGAATTAGATGAGACGCTAATTCAAATCCCACGTGCAAGCGCTTTGCATTAAAGGTATGATTATTTATCTTTTACCTGCCCTCGAGAATTCAAGTTTCATTAGTAGGTGTAAACATTCATAATAGCAATGTGGGTTCCACTTGTGGCTGCAGGCAATTGACACACCAATAGCACGTTTGTACACCATATTGCTTGCCTTCGGCTGGCACTTTATCGACCCGCAGTTACATCCAATCCTTGGGTTTGAACATTCTTGTTGGTGTGTGTCTCTTTCACACTGCCCACTCACCTTGTGCTTTTAGCACGAGACTTGAAAGCACAATACTAAGGACTGTCCGTCACTTGCTGTCGGGGGGGTTTATGTGGGGCAACGCTCTGATGCCCTATAAAAATAACACAAAACGTGCTCTTTTAGGCCTGTTAGGCAACAAGAGGTGAAGGTGAATGCACTGACGGTCTCGCCCGTTGCCTTGCCCCACCAATCATTTAAGCTCACAGTCCTGCCTTTGTTCTGTCTCAAGCCACCCACCCCCATCTCACCTACCTACACAAATCCTTTTTCAAAACACTCTGCTCAACCTTTCTACTGGCAAGCTTGAAACACAACAAACTCCTCATGACGAACCAACCTCCTTCGCACCTTTCCAACATGTCGGCCGAGGGTCTTAATGCGACCATGATACGAGACCCTACCAACGCAGAGATCGCCGAGTTCCTTGCCAATCGCAGCGGTGCTCAAATGCTGCAGCTGATGCGTTACATCAGGGAGCCAGCTGCGCAAGTTGCTTTCGCAAACCAGATGATGAATCTGCCCGCACCTGTTAGCAACAGCCGCGCCACCCCCGAGTTGGTTCAGAAACCCAAGAAAGCTCTCAATGCTTTCGTAGGCTTCCGATGCGAGTTCACGATATCTTGTTAGCCACGCAACAAGCTGACTTCCTACTTCCAGGCTACTACATCGACATTCCCGCCTTCAAGTCATGGCCTATGAAGAAGCTATCCAATTTGCTTGGAATCTTGTGGGAGTCAGACCCAAACAAGCCACTCTGGTCGTTGCTGGCAAAGGCTTGGTCCATGCTCCGTGATCAGCTCACCAAAGAGGTGGCTCCGCTGGATGAATTCTTCGGTATCGTGTGCACTGAGCTCGGCGTGCCCCATCCCGACTGGTACCTCGAGGCCAATGGATGGATACTGTCTCATGACCAAGATGGTAACCCAACGCTCTCGCGCGAGGCTGGTATCGAACCAACGGTTGCCACTGCTGCAGACAAGGCGCTCTCGGTTGAAGACATCATCCGCGTTGCTCAAGGCAAACTATTCGCCATGACCTACAAGCACTGCTTAAACGGTTCATCGACCTTCCTTGCTGAGCGCATGGCTCCACACAACACATCTCAGGATGACAGAACTCCTGCTGAGCTTCTTGCTTTCGAGGCAGCGCTTCAGGCTGAGATTCACAACATTCACGAGTACATGATCACACATCAGAATGGGCCTGTTCATGAGACGTCTAATCACTCTGCAACTCTTCCGAATGGCGAGCACAATCCGCTTTACAATCAAATCATGGTTTCCCTCGCTGAAGCAGCTTCCGATGCCGATGCCGATGCCGGTGCTCCAGCTGCCAATGTCGGTGCTCCCGCCGCTGCAGTGATTCCTGCTTTCAATGCCGGTGCTCCCGTTGCGATCGCTGCAGGAATACCTGATTTTGATAACAGTGTTCCTGCTGCTGTTGCTGAAGGAATGTCCGATTTCAATGACGGTGCTCCCGCGTTTGGTATGGAAACTGGATTCACCGCTCCCTCTACCCCCTTCTCCATGGGCGAGGCCTTCCACCAGTCCACTTTTGGCAATGCCGTCCCTTATGAAAACGACGCTTTCCGTGTTGGTGCCGACGAGGATGCCACTTTGCCTACTTTCGATGGCGCTAACAACGCCTAATGGGGTGGTGCTCGAGTCTGACAGGAACTCGGAACGCTGAGCCTAATGGAATATCATCATGAGCTTCAGATTGGATATGCAGGGTAAAAGGCTCTGTACGTAATGTGTTTGGTCATTTCATTGTCGAGCAGATGAGAAGTCTGGCGAATGAGAGGAGAAGCCTGAAAACCTTCACATTCTGTCACTTACACTGCATATGCAAGGGGGTTGACTTAGTCAAATTAGGCGAAAGTGTCTTATTCCTGTTCCGTCTGTGGCGTCAAACCATTTCCTTTGTCTCATAGTTTCTCATTTTGAACAAAAGCCTGTACTATCCTATATCATGTTCCTCATGCAATATCCTTCATCTCAACCATTAAAATATGGGTTTTCGACTTTCCTGGGAACTACGTTGATGCAGCTTTTCCAAGTGCATCGTCGTAGATTTCAACAAGCATTACTGTTACTATCCATCCTTGAACCCGGTGTCTTGGAATATGGACGCTCTTAACAGGTGAATGCGTCATTCTTTATCACTTCGTCTCTCTCACCTCGAGACAGGTATGATCTTTCTCAATACTTATGGCTTGCTTTATTCATGCTGATATTTTCTACAGACAGTATTCATACTTGGTGTCTTTATGATATGGCCTAGCCCTTGTTTGCATTCTTACATGTAGACGAGGTGCAGCAAGTCATTCTGTTCTTTGTAACAAACCTCGAGTTACGTAGGCGTGCCTACAGACTGCTCGTGGTGTAAGAGAAATCTTGCGGCCAATCAGATAGCATAGGTGAGTGACTTGAGCACTGACTTGTTTGTGAGTGTGCAGGTTGTCTGCCTGCTTGGTCTTGGCGCGGTCACAAGAAAGGCTCACTCTCACCAAGCTCCATAAATACCCCACCAACCTCTACTTAAACTCTACTCAACCTTTCAAAACTCTGCAATTGCTTTACTACAACTTTCCTCTACCATCACACACCAACGCACCAAGACAATGGATCACCAGAACGTCCCCGTAGTCGCACCTGACGCCAATGTCTCTAAGGCGCAAGTCACACAAGCTGCCACCGAGCAGTTTGATGCTGCCCTCACTACGTGCATCGAGGCGCACAGCCGCGGCGAAGACTTTGTGGTCCTCGAGGACAGCCTTCCTGTGCTCTTTGGAGATCTTCTCGTCCAGCACTTCCAGCGCACTGTCGTTGAGGCCTTGGGCACACCTATCGACCTCACTGTCATCGACAGCGACGATAAGCTTTACACCCTCGTCATGATCACCAAGATCCACCCTCCTGTTCAGACCCCGTCTTCTGAAGTCGCAACTCTTGACGATCAAGTTGTTGCTGTCGGGTTTAGGAAAGCTCCACGCCCAATGAACTGCTGGATCATCTTCCGTGACGCCAAGAGCAAGGAGCTCAAGGAACAGCACCCTGAGCTTACCGTCCAGCAGATTTGTAAGCATTAACACCTAACCAACGTCCCAACTGAACATGTACTGACCTCTGAATAGCTACTCGCTGCTCTGAGCTTTGGCACGATCTTACTCCCCAGGAGAAGCAGCCGTGGAAGGATGCTGCCCAGTCCGCAAAGGAGGAGCACCTTCGTCAACACCCCGATTACAAGTATAGCCCTAGGAAGCCGGGTGAGAAGAAGAAGCGCCAGTCACGCAAGGCCAAGGAAGCTACTGCAGCTCCTACTACTTCAGCGGCCGGCAAGCTTCAAGCTACCTCGGACATCGCAACTGCATCGGCTGTTGTTGGCACACTTGGACTTACAGGTTTCGAGGGTTTCGAGGGTTTCGACGCCGCTGGAAATGCTCCTGCCGGAAACTGGTTTGACTTCTTTGCTTCGGAGCATGTCTTGGAAATGGCCACTCAAGAGTTGGTAACCCAGAACTTCCGCAACAACGAGGCTATGCGCCAAGCTCGACTCCAGGAAGAGTTCGGCCAGTTCGACTTTGAAGAGCTGCTTACGATGTGGGAAGAACAACAAGGTCTCGCTTTCCGCGATGGTGCAGATGGCAATTCTACTTTGCCTGTGTTCCTCGAGGACGAGTACTAGAGAGGCTTCGTGCACGTCATGCTGGCCCGTACAAACTATGCATCGTCACAAGCTTTCTCATCGACGAATAGTTTGCGCTCTTATTCGGGGACCCAGCGAATTCGATGTACTCTCTCTTGTTTTGTCCTTCGATGTGTCCAGGCCTTCGACAACGCTATCGACTAGCTCTCCTGCACACTACATCGGTCGGGCAACTCCCTTGCTTTAACAAAATCCCTTACTTTCAGAAGGCGTGCGCCTATCATGGATCTCCCTCTTGCTTACAACGACGACTGCGATCCTGGCAGCTCTACACGGTACCCCATACACTTGTTTTCATTGCGACACGGATATATCGAAGGATGGATACGGTGCTTGTACTTGCTTGGCTTGCTGTTATGGATGCGGTCTTTATTGGACTAGACATCTACACGGCTCAGCTACAAGGGCACCACTGATGGCTTGACACATGTCAATCTACCTGGCGGGGGGATATCTTCTTCATACCAGCAGTCTGTGTCGGTCACTGGTCATTGTGTTTCATTTCCTTGCTTCAGATAATTTCCTTAAGACTCTTGAGTCAGTCTTACGATACCTACTTCGATGGAGTTACCCTTATGGTACCTACTCAGGATCACGATAATCGATAGTTGATAACTCAATTGGCATGAGATCCACACCAAAAACACATGGGATAACTTCCATAAAACAATCACAAAAAACCCCCCAAAAATATGGCCTTCCTCTATGACTTGGCTGTTTGATGATGCCTTTGGTGCCTTTCTTTGTTCGGTCTATTCGTGGAGTGCGATTTTCTTTGATGCAGCCATTGTTTCCGATCGGTGTGATGGTGGCTGCATGGCGGAGGCGTGGCTTCTGAATCAGGAGATTCCCGACTCCGCGGTACGAGGATGTCTTACATCAGCCACGGAGACGTGTGGGATAGGGGAGGTGTTTATAGGATACGTCATGCTATACTTGGGTAGTGGCAGTTCAGGATTCGAAGGGTATGGCAGAGGTCCTGTATCGAAGGGTCGAGTCTATTGGTTTTGAGGCAAGGGGATTCCGCGTCCCTAGGAGCACGGGAGATATGTAGCTATCGAACCTAAAATTGCAATCGCAAGACTAAAGAAGCGCTTAGGCACGTCTGGTTCCTCGCGGGTGCTCAACGTTTGGTAGTGATGAGCCAGTGTTGGGTAGGTAGGCTTGCCCACAGGCGTACCATCAACGCAACTTTGTGGCAAGCCACGCAAGTGCTTACAGGCTGATTTCAAATTGCAGTCCCAAGTAGCTCTGAGGGTTGAATTAGAATCGATGATAACGTTGTGGAGATATAGCCATGGTTGCTCACAAAGTTTCAACCCTACAAAGTTGTATCCACACCGCAACTTTGCGGCAAGCTTTTCAAGCGCTTATAAGGTGGCTTAGAAGCATAATATCAAGGGATTCTGAATGTCTGTTAAGAAACGATGGTGGTACTGTGAAGATATCGCCCTGTTTGTTCAACTACGTCTTGAACCCGTCGGCCGGTATCGCCAGCCCAAATGTATGGCAAACCTGGCAAGGCCACGCGGAAAAGCCTAAATATTCAATAAAAAGTCATTTCCGGACGTTTGATTTGAATCCTATATGCGTCTACGGAAAGATAGTCATGTCCGCTCACAGAGTCTCAGATAGATATTGCAGTATCCTCGAAGCATCTTTGTAGCAAACGTGGCAAGCGCTCTTGGGACAATATTTGAATATGTAAAAAGTAGTTTCCGTGAGTTTGAAAATTATCCGAGTCGGGTTGTTCAGTCCTCGTGGTCATGGTTTGGTCATTTGAAGACAATTAGATGAGATCTACAAAAAGCATCTTTGTGGCAAACGTGGCAAGACCTCTTCAGCTACCTTATCAATACGCAAAGAATCATTTCCGGGAGTTTGAGAATGCGTGCGTATGCAGATCTCAAGTCATTGATGTTGCTGGTAGCCAGGCCTCTGGACTATCGACAGCAATTGTACTCGTGCCTTTGTGGCAAGCTTAGCAAGAACGTCACAGTAAAATATTTAGTACTATAGTAGATAGTTCCGGAGATATAGAGGTATTTGGGTGTGTTGTCATTTTCCAATACTTGTAGTCGGGGTCCAGGGATGTAGGACCAAGACCAGATACAATAAGTGCACTTTTTGTATCAAGCTTGGCAAGACTTCTAGGGGGATAATATCAGGGATATAAGATGTAGCTGATGAGGTATTGAGGTATTTTGGGATAGTGATGATAGGTGTCAAATGTGGCTGGTCCGGGAGTAAGAGGGCGGGAATGGAGGAAGTGTAGAAGTGTACAACACATGACTCATATACATAGTTTCCTATCTATTGTCTCTATTACTAGATGAGCTAATTCGCTAAATTGTATCACTTCCGGGAAGCTGCAGTCTCGGTATATTATGTTGTCTTTTGGAGGAGCTGGACACATCCGGTGTCCACCGGAGTGAAGTTTAAGAAACACTACAAGTCTTGGAACTATAACAATACTTCTTCTCTACACGCAAGTGACTCTACTCATACAGTATCCAAAACCTTTGAGAGGCTCCAAAGGGTTAGCATCTCGAATATCTTGATTGTGAGAAATAAATACCCTACCCATCTCTACGCTGGACTTATCCCTACCCCCCTACCAGTCAACTCTACCTTTATTCCTCCTCTTCGACACGACACTCTTATTTGGTAGGAAGACCTTCTGAATGTCTTTCTCAATACTAAGTATTGTGGATAACTAGTCTTAGACAATGCGATCAAAAGTGTTATCAAACAAGTGTATATAGAGAAAAAAAATACGACCCTAGATTTGGAAAACTTAAACATACCTTCTTACCAATGCGTAACTTCACAAGAACAGCGCCAATTCCCTTCTTACTAGATACTCCAGTGAAACACATGAAAATATCCCTATACTCTACACGTCGAGCGATAGATGAACGAAATACGATCTCTTAGCCAAGGATGTGAAGTGCATACTTTAATTAAAAAAAGCTAAGGATATGAAGATTATCTTAGGGCTTCTAGATAGACCCCAACATGCTATGAGATTAAATGAATTTCCATAGGCGACATATCCACCCTCTTTTTCCCCACGACCCCTTCACCATCCCCCTCAACTACCCTTCCAATCACTACACCAAGTGAACGTCGGACACCTCCACTGCGTCCCCGTCTCCTTGACCCCACTCGGCCCAATCGGGCGCGGACAAACCCAAAACTCCCTGCCGAAATTCTGCCCCTTCTTCTTCGTCTTGTACAATGTGCATGGCTCGCCGTGTTCGCAGCGGGGTGGTGGTTTCTTGGAGAAGAGCTTGGTCCAGCCTTCCCTTGAGGCTTCTTGTGAGGCGCGCGGGTCGGTATCGAAGGAGTCGGAAGCGGTTGGTGGAGAGGATGCTGGTGGTGGGGGGAGAATATCGGCGGCGACGGTGGTGGAGGGGGTGGACTGGCTTGAGGGATCTGCAGGCGTGGGGGGTGAGGAGGCGGGTGGGTCTGAGGGGGGAGTTGGACCCGGGGGTTTGGTGCGGGTTTGGAAGAAGCCTTTGAGGGATTGTTGGTTTTTGGATGGGGCGATTGGGACGGTGGATTTTGTGCGTTTAATTGGTTTGCTGGGGGATCCGGAGGCGGAAGGACGCCGTTTCTCGGCTGGCTTCAGTGGGCTCTGAGTTGATGCCGGACTGGTATTCGTGACTGGATGTGTGTCGGCTAAAGAAGCTGCGATGGCCAATTCGAGGTCTCTATCCATCTGGTTGGCAGCCGTATTTGAGGTAGACGCAACTGGTGCTTCCGTTGAGGGGGTTGGTTGTGTTGTTGCAGGTGTAGGTGTTGATGTAGGTTTGCGTGGGGCGGGCTTCTTGCTGAACATGTCTTTGATACTCCTCCGTTTTGTGAATTCATCTAGTAGCCTTCCGCTGAGTGGTGGGATATCTTTCGCTGGGTCATATTCCCTCTGCCGTACACCATTCTGGAACACACCTGCTGGGTTCATCAAATCCAGAATATGTGCAACGTTCTCGACATGACTGGTGCCCCCATCTACAATCGGTACCACGTCCTTTGTAACTGCGTACACAGGGCAGTGGTCGGAGCCCATGAGTCCTTCCTGGATGTTCGCATCCTTGAACCAGTCCTTCATGGCAAGACTGCATAGTATAAAATCGATCCGAGAGCCAAAGTTGCCAGGCCTCGCATTGATCTTCTGCTCCCAGTGCGTGAACATGCCCTCGCGATCTGGGTGAAACTCCCGACACAGATCGTATAGTACTGGCTCCTCACGTCCTTTGTCCCTTTCGCCTGGTACATTTCCATTCAACAAGAGCTGATTGAAGATGCGGCGGTTAGGCGTGCTGAGGTACTCAGCGTGTGTCATGCCCTCTGCACGCATATTCTCTTCTGCTTTTGCAGTATCGATCAAGTCTCTTGAAACGTTGAGATCTCCGGTGAGAATGACGTTTTTACCCATCTTGGTCAAGTTCCTTATCCGTGTTTCTAGCGCAGTGAGGAAGCCGAGTCGAAAGCCGTCTCGTTGGCCATTGCTGTTCGCCGGACTGTAGACACCGAAGAGGACAAAGGCGGGGAACTCGAGCACTAGACATCGGCCTTCTGAGTCGAGACTATCTGCATCCAGGTCTGCGGGGAGGTTGGCGATCTGGGAGGACGTAAGGTAGCCGCCGATGCTGGCTGACGCAGGGAGGTCACGGTAGGGTGTTGACGAGTTGGGAGGGCATAGAGCGCCTAATACTCCCTCTTCGGCGCGAATGGGGGCGCATACGGATTGACGGGTGTATATGCCGACACCTGAGTATCCTGCAGTACATCAGCACACGAACATATGACAAAAGTGTGTATAGTATCATGAGATATACCCTTTTTATGTTTGGGTAGGCTGAAGTAGCAATCCCAGCCCGGTACAAGCACCATATCGTCAGTGAGGTCCTTGCGTTGAATCTTCAACTCCTGCATAATGACAATATCGGCCTCGAGAATGTCGAACATGGCATTGAATGTCCTCGTTGTACTCCATGGCTTGTAGCCGAACGGGTTGCGAATGCCGTTGACATTCCAGGTGGTGATGCGAACCATATTTGCCTCTATGCGATTACGGAGGGCGACAACGAATGCAAGCAAGAAGCATTGTTTCCCTCACCAGCTCATCGCACATGGAATCCAACGAGTGAGACGCGACAAGTACGTAGACGCGCTGGGAACACGACGTCACATTACCCCGGTACGCGGCGCAGGCTTGGCGGGCGGACGGCGGAAGTTCGCAGGCCGCCAAGCATGGCCCTCGTTAATTCCACTTCGTTCCCTCACACGTCACGCCAAACACCAATTGCACCATCCCATCTCCACTCCATCACCCCGAATCGCCCTCGCCATGTTCGTCGCACGAAACTTTGCCCGCTCGGCGCCTCGCCAGGCCTTTGCCCGCGCTCCTGCTCGCGCCGGCCGCCGCACCTACAGCTCCGAGAGCCCCAAGCAGTTTGCCGGAGCCGAAGACAACGAATTCAACCGCGAGCGTGCCTACATTGCACAGCACGCTGCTGAGTCTGGAGAGCTCTGGCGCAAGCTGTCGCTATAGTAAGTGCCCGCCGAATTGGCATGACACCGGAAGAAGGAACAACCCGGGGTGTGGAGAGAAGAGATCGGGCTCATGGGGTCGCGTTGGATTGCAAAATGCATACTAACGCCGTGCGCAGCGTCGCCGTACCCTGCATCATCGTTGCCAGTGTCAACGCAAAGATTAGGTGGGACGCCCATTGGGAGCACGTCGCCCACGAGGAGCACGAGAACCCGCGCTCAGAGAGGCCTGAGTACCCCTACCAGAACCTCCGCACCAAGAACTACTTCTGGGGAGACGGTGACAAGGTATGACCGATCATCTGCGCCACCAGCATACGACCTTCATCTGACATGTACGCAGACCCTCTTCTGGAACGACAAGGTCAACTACCACAAGAAGGACGAGTAAAGCACTTACATAGCCTGCTTGGAAACAGTCATATCAAGTACCATTGCATTCAACACTAGGAGCAATCATGGGGACCAAAGGTGTATATATCGACCCGTAGGCTGAGAGCAAACCAGCAATTCATTTCCTTTGTGACTGCATGCCATGTGTCATGACTAGTACCACTTTCAAAACCTCTGCGTGCCAAATGCCTCCTCCCAAACTTGGTTATGTCTCATTGCCCATTCCTCCGCCACTTTCTCGTCCCCCCTCAATTTCGCTATCATGGCTTTCTTCATCAGTTGCTCGCACTCGCCATCTACGTAGGCCGCTCTCTTGAAACAGTCCCTTGCGCGATCAATGTACAGTTCCGCTTTAGCCACGTTGGCTGACCGGGAGCGCATCGCTGGAAAGCGCGGTGATTTGGCTGTAGATGGAGACATGATACTAGCATGTGAAGATGACGCAGCATCGGGATTTGCAAGACCCATATGCGAGTCCGCGAGATGCGAATAGAGTGTACCCACAAGCATATTATCCTTGCCTTCCAGAGCCTGTCACAAAAATTAGCATACATCCCCATTCGATGCCCCCAAAAGAAACACCAAAACATACCTGCGGCAACACACCCTCCACCAACCTTCTAGCCTCCTTGTATTCCCCCAGCGAATTCAATATCCCGCCTAGACACCCAACCGCGCACCAAAGTGCACACCCCACTCTTGCTCTGAAACTCACACTCGCCGCTCGCAGCGCAACGCTGAATCCTCTCTCTGGTTTCCCCACTCTTCTCCATACATCTGCTTGCATCAACAAGACAGAGACGCGCTGGTAGATATCGGCGTTATCTTCCTTGAGAGATTGGGCGAGAGAAGCGATGGTCTCGTATGCGAGGGCAAACTGGTTTGTGGATATCAGATAGTCAATGTACGTCTCGTGTTGGATGAAAGACATTTCCGGGTCCAAGGGTGGGTAGGAAGGAGATGATGTCGGCTTGAGTGTCTCGAGAAGGTGTGTGGCAGCTGGCCAGTCGGATCTACAAATGTTGTTTTAGTATTGCAAACTCATGCTTTTGACGAAGAAGAAGAGTCATTTGTACCTCCGAATCGCTCTCCTGAGCTTGATAATTCCAATGCAGAGAACAAGGTATTGATGGAACTTGAGCCTCTTGTGCACGGATGGATCGACGGCCTCGAGGATGGAGATGGCCTCGTCGTAGCGGCCGAGCTGGCTCATGACGAATGCTCGGCGACCGATGGCGCGGAGACGCTCTTCTGTAGGTGAGCGCGAGTAGCAGTCGAGGAGTAGCTCGCAATGGACGTTGGCAAGATGTGGAATACCGATTCGGTTGTAAAGAGACGCTGTTAGCAGCATCAGGGAGCCGTAGCTGTGAAGATCTTCTTTGATATTGAGATGGGAGGATTGGTAGATGTGTTCGATAGCTCGTGAGACCGAGTCGCCCTGGTGGTGGATTAGTATGAATACTGTATCAAAATGAAGTGTGTGAAGGTACCGTTGTGAGAGTAAGCTTTGCTTCATTGAGTAGACTCGCACTGAGCAAACTGTACGACTTCGTTTCCTTGGCCTTTGCTTTGAGAAACGTTAATGCATCTCTTTCGCTGCCAAGCATACTGATATATCCCGCGCCCTTCATCTGCTTCGGATACGCCCTGGACATATGATTCAGCCAGCTGAGACTGAAGCTCAAGCATGCTATATCCTGATTCTCTCTAGCTGTCGCAATCGTCTCATTGATAGCAGCAATGGCCTCCCCGAAGCAGCCAAAGTCCGCTTGCATGATGGCCATATGCAGCAGAGCATACTGGTAATGGAACTTCTCTCGAGTCTGTATAGCATAGTCGTAGTAGCGGTGCAGGTCGTCGAAAGCAGATGTGTAATCACCGGCTTTCCACGCATCGAAAAATTGTACGAGATGCGCCTGTCGATGTACCAGACCTGAAGAGTTGACCATGCTTCGGAGTTGGCTCTTCATCTCATTTGGAACGCGGTCTCCAAACTTTTGTAAACGGTCAAGTTGAAACTCCAGTATTCGATTCAGATCGTCCTGACCCATGCCTGCCCCCTCCTCCTCCTGCTCGTCTAGATGGCCATACGCGGCTTCATACAAATCGTCACCGGGATGGAGCCCCATCTCGGAAATGACTGAATCGACACCACTTGAAGCAAGGCCCGCCAATCTCTTTGTCCATTGCGCTGTCGGGGCCCTGTACTTGATGAACGATGACCAGAGCTTCATCGAGTCATCAAATTGCAACCTTGTGAACTCCAGATGGGCCCTCCGAACAAAGGCGCCAAGAGGCGATGTTTTTGAGAGATATATCCGGTCCGACGCTTCTTCATCGTGAGCGGTTGGCGGTGCAGGAGCGATCAGATCCAGAATACCATCGAATAGAGCGTGCAATGAGTCAAATGAGTTCATCTCCCACATTTGCTTGAGAAAATGATCCAAGAGAGTCCGCCCCGGCATACTTGATGCATGCTCCTGAAGGACATGTTCGAACGCATCAATAGAGAAGGCTGTGTCTTGCTGATTGGAACTGGTCGAGCGCTGTGGCCGGGCACTAGACCGTGCTGAAGGTATGCTGTTCGACAAGATGAAGGAGAGAATGGGTATCGTCGCAGAAGAGGGGAGAGAGGAGCTGCAGTACAATCGGGTAAGGACTAGGAGACTGATCTTCTGCGCTGTAAGAAAGCGTGGTGTAGCCATCCTTGTTGTTTCGGACCTTGTTGAGGTGAATGCAGAAGTTGGGGAGCAACGGATTGTATGTGTCAAACTTATTGCTACCAACCTATGTGTTGAGGTAGGCGATTGTGCAATACAGACATTCCGCGCTGGTGGAGTGAGAGAGATTACACTGTACGCTTCGCAGTTTCCATAACGGGGTTGTTTGTTGAAGGTGGCGTGGAAGGGCAGAACAACCGAGGCGCGCAGCGCGTAACTGTCGCGAAGTCATGCGTCTCTTGGTGATTGAAAACACGACCACTTTGTGGCTTTGCAGCACGTCAAGTGCAACATTTGGATGGAAACTGTGATTCAACGTGTCCCTCAAAAGTTGGCGTTGTTGGTATGTACGGCTTGATATTGAATCTATATGCTCATCTACTGTCATCTACTAGGACGCCTTTCCAACTCCAGAATCTTGCCTCTTGATCTTCTTGAGATCAACTCCCCTGGGATGCAAACTTGGCACCGGTGCACTTTTCAGGAGCTCATCCTCGCTTGTCGCGTTCGTCGCCCACACCTTGCTAATGCTCAAATCATACGGCCCCTGTATCCGGTCGATGAGCGATATTCCTACCGTCCGCACCTTTTGTGTCAACATTTCCCGCTGGGGCTCGACAACCTGGCCATGATTTGTCCGCACGAACTCACTCCACTTGATCAGAGCGGTCTCCCATTTCCCTGGAGTCTTGGCATGCAGTAGGTGCTGGTGGATGTCTGTAGGAACAATCGACTCGGTCTGCACATTGATGAAGTACTTGCGCCCGTCCGACTTGAACTGTATAGCAAGGAAACCGTACATGCTCACGTCCCACAGCGACTTGCCAAATATGGTCGAACCCCGGTCAAGTGTCCTCCACCCCGCATAGCCGGTTCTCTGGATGTGTGGTTGGTTCTGGGGCAGTTGCGTGGAGATGGTACCACGGAAGCGCACATGTGAAGGCTCGGTCTGGGTGACGGGATGGAAATCTAGGTTTACAGTGGAGAAGCCACCAATGTCCTTGTCGCTCATGCGTTTGCAGAGCTCGACATCTTCGGGCTGGTTGAACTGGATGAGGGGGAAGGCCTTCCTAGGCGAAGACAAGCCCTCGAGCTTGAGTGCTGCACATGTTAGTGGCGGCGCATCGTGGGCGCGAGTGTGTACTCACCGAAGTTGGAGAGGCGCTTGAATTCGTCTAGACTCCGTTTGAAGAAGCCGGGCCCAAGGCAGGCAGAGGTCGGCCGCATAGTTGCTAGAGAGTCGATGCAATATCTGGAAGCCGGACAGTGAATGCCGCGGGCGCAATGGCAGCTCAACTTCTATGAGGCTCATGCGACGCCATGCAACGATGACGCCGCGGTAGTCTTCGCCGGGCGCTAGCCGCATTAGCCTGTTATGCCAAAAATCTACAGACGGCAAATACAGCATTTCTGTATCACTCGAGGCCGAACTCTTCGCTCCAGTTATTGCTGTCTAGTTGAGGCTCTTCCAAATTGCGTGACCCATTGTGCGCGCGCCTCTGTTTTCTAGGTAGTCGGGACATCAACAAATCTACTCGTCGCCACGCGCTTTTCCGTTCCCCATGACATTCCAGGAAGCCACCAGAACTCGAGGTATTCGAGACGATACCGCCCAGCCTTTGCAACCACTTCCGCCCTCTTTGCGCGAGTTGGGAGAAGTCACCCCGCCAAAGCAGCCAAATGGGGCGCCGGTAGCAAAAGCAAACCCCACGTCTGGGAAGTCATGGGCGCACTTTGTCGCTGGAGGGTGAGAACTTGGTTATGTTTCTATAGCCACGAATCGAGGCTAATTCTCTGTAGTCTTGGAGGCATGGCCTCTGCGACATTGACGGCGCCACTCGATGTTCTCAAGACCCGTCTTCAGTCGACATTCTACCAACAACACCTTGCCGCCATGCGTACTGCCCGAGGCTTACCCCCCATTGAGACCATGTCCTTCGCTCGCAGCTCGCTACTACACATCCGGGAAACAGGAGAAATATTATGGCAAGTTCCAAAGGCCGAGGGATGGCGTGCGCTGTTTAAAGGCTTGGGCCCAAATCTCGTCGGCGTAGTCCCCGCACGCGCAATCAACTTTTTCGCTTACGGCAATGGCAAGAGACTGATTAGCACCCACTTTAACAACGGACAAGAAGCAGCCTGGGTTCATCTCTGTAGTGCCGCAACTGCTGGAATCGTGACTGGAACCGCAACAAATCCCATCTGGCTGGTCAAAACGAGATTACAACTGGACAAAAACACACACTCAGACGGTCGTGGCCGACAGTACAAGAATGCGTTCGACTGTACAATGCAAACCATACGCAAAGAGGGTGTTCGTGGACTATATCGTGGACTGACGGCCAGCTATCTAGGTGTGACGGAGAGCACGCTGCAATGGATGCTCTACGAACAGATGAAGCTCGGATTATCACGACGAGAAGCGCGCGTAGAGGCCAGTGGACGACCGCCGACAGTATGGGATCAAACGGTTGCATGGACAGGCAAGCTGACTGCCGCTGGATCGGCAAAGTTTGTCGCTGCACTAATCACATATCCCCACGAAGTCATCCGTACACGATTAAGGCAAGCACCTATGGAGGATGGCCGACAGAAGTACACAGGTCTTGTCCAATGCTTCCGACTGGTATGGAAAGAAGAAGGCATGGCAGCGCTTTACGGTGGTCTAGTCCCTCACATGTTCCGTGTGGTACCCAGTGCCGCCATCATGTTTGGTACATACGAGGGTGTACTGAAGTTTCTTGGGGAGAGCAGCAACATGTGACGAGGGTTTGTTGTCAAGATTACCTGATGTCCACGAACTGTCGTCGTGGTTGTCATGGCTATAATGTGTACAAGACTTGCATAGGAACGGCGTTATGAAAAGAAGGAGCTTTGGTTTGCATATATGGCGTCTTTTATCACCACTCAGCCGCAATTGAGCTTGTACTTGTATATTTTGGGGATATGGGAAGAAGTACATAGATGCTGTACTGTACGATGATCCGAAATGTGAATTGCAGTAGAGTCTCGGCGTCGATATTTTCTACATGAATATACCATACAAAAATGTCATTAAAAATGTTTCTGAAAGTCTTTCAATCTTTGCCTTCGAAAGGTTTATTGTTAATTGCTTTCCATGTTCGAGTGTTTTTGGTGGCAGTCTTGCACCCCTCGGAAGTCCGCTCAACTAGTTAGCGCAACTTTGGCGTCCGAGCATCGACTTTTGACATATTGAACACCCCATTGCGAACGATCAATCCAAGGCGCGGGCCACATCCCAAACCGCCCACCATGTCGACACAACTCCCATTCCGGAGCATGCGCATACCAGCGCTGCAGCGACAATGCCTCTATCTCCGCCACCGGAGCCCAAGCCGGCCGCTCAACCTCTCCCTCCGCCAACCCACGATATCAACCGCCCGTGCCTTTTCCAGCACCCCCTCGCGCCCCGCAAAGCACAAAGCTGGGCGCCAGCAACTCGGCATAGATAGAGCGCAGACGAGGGCGGCGGCCAGGTCTACCATTGGCCCCGCGCCAGCTGTGGGCATGGCAGAAGCGCAAAGCGATGTGGATAGCATGCAACAAGATATCGGGTTACTACAGAATACCATGATCAGGGCACCGTTCAGGGAGCTCTGGAAGCATGGCTTGTGGACGTGGCCGGTTTACTTTTGGAAATTGGTCAAGAGCAAAGGGACAGGGCTGTATTCGTAAGTGGCATCTTTTTGATTTTGGATGGAGGGGGATAAATGGTTGAGTGTGGGCATGGTGGGCTGGGGAAGGAGAACCCAAGACGACGAGGAAGTACAGAGGGAAGAGAAGGCGATGGAAGAGGATTCATTGCCTTCCAATGGCGAAACATGCAACTGCTAACACCATAAATTCAGGCGATTCCTCTACCGCACCTGCGTCCAAAAGAAAGGCTGGGATTACTATACCCCCATCGACTACTGGGAATGGAAGCAATTCAAGTACATAGCAAAGCGACACTACGAGCACGTCTACAATAGCTTTGCCGCGTATGTCCACGCTCCTATCCTCCAAACTAAAAGTAAACTAACCCAACACCACCACCACAGAGGAAACGTCCGAAAACTAAAAGACACATGTCTCCCCCCTTTCCTTCGAAAAATCCAATCACAGATCGCCGTCCGCGGTGGCCTACGCGTGAACTGGAAAATTCACGGCAATATCGCCGCACGCATAGTTTCGCACCGCGCCTCGCCTCTCGGTGAATCACACCCGGATACCGCATACAGACAGCTAGTTGTTCGCCTCAAGTCCAAGCAGTCTATTACTAGAACCAAATCGGGTCGTAAAGCCGCCTCCTCGTCGTCGACCGGCCCACGTCGCCCCAGTGAGGGTCTACCATGGATGCCAGATGCCGCGCGCGAACAGATGCAGCGCGAGCGCAAGGCAAAAGCTGAAGGTCATGTTGATGGTGTGGAGCTGCCACAAGAGAACGACGTGTTTTTTGACACCGAGGTGCCGACGACGGTCGTGGAGTACTTGGTGTTGCAGAAGCGCGTTATTCGGGGTGTGGAGGAGGATTGGAAGGTTTGGGGGTTTACGCGGGAAACGACGCCCGAGCTGTTAAAGCAGGATGAGGAGTATTTCCGGAAGATGTTGGATTATCAGACGGGGTAGTTGCGTGCATGACGCTCAGCCGGAAATTATGACGGACAGGCCGATTGTTACTGTAGTTGTACATGTGTAAGAAGATGGAAATACCCGTGTGGACTTGCTCAGTTGTTTGAATGAAGACGTCGAGAGGATGAGACGGATAGTGACAGACATGATGATGTTTGTCATTTCTGCTGGCCAGTAACAATCATGTATGAAGCCATGACTGAGCTATCAATGGACCCTCAGCTTTCCACAGCCAAACAATAGTGTGCACGAATCAACCCCCCACGTCGAGCCTCTCTTCCTAAACTATATTCAGGCACACTCGCCAGAACCTGGTAAGCAACTGCGCCAGGCGCCCATGCCCGCGGACAGCGCAAGGCGGTATAACGAGAGACGGGGAGCTTGCAGCCATCAGGGAGGAAGACTAGAAACCGTGGACCTAACCCACCGTCAGCATGTTCGAGCGCAACAAACGCGCGCCTCCAGCACAACTCACCTTGATAGTTTTGGCATCAAGACCCAAACCCTCCTTTTTGTCGGTCAAAAAGTCCTGGACATCCTTGCGCTGATCGCCCTGCAGCTGGACGACTTCGCCCATTTCCGCATCCGTCACGATAGTGCCATTGCATGCAAACTTTTTCTTGATTACTTTGAGAATCTTCTTCTGGTCAAACTTCTTAGGGAGACCCTGGACCGTCGTCAAGGTCTTGCGGCCATTGCGCTCTGCAGTATGTAAGCAGAGGGTGACATATAAGGCCGAAGGCGGTGAGAGAGAGAGAAGCACGTACGTTGGATACGAATATGAATGTAGTCCTGCTGAGTCTGCTTGACCTGGCCGGTGTCTTCATCCGCTTCCGCGAACGGGTCTGACAGATGAGCACGTTAGCAAAAGTGCGTCACACGTGCGGTTGCAATGCGACGTCTCACCGAAGGTCTTGAGGTTCTCGATGGACATACGACTGTCTGTGGGCGTGCGCGTGTAGGTGGGGTTTGTGTGGATATGGATTGCTCTGGCGTAGTTTGTTTGGGGATTAACGCTGGTAGCTGGCGTCGTGGGTGGCAATCTAGTTTTTGGCTGGTTTGCTGGTTGTGGTGCAGACGTCTTAGTTTGCTGCAGGTTGAGTGGTGTGTGTGTGAGTGGAGGGTCACAGAGCAGGCTGGCAAGTGCAAGCACACAGCAGAGAGGGGTGGGGATGCGGGAAGGGCAAGGCAAGCCCCGCTATGGTCAGTGCGCTTGCTACCACTACCACTACTAGGCGGGCAGGTGCGAGGACCCAAGTTTGTGCCATGGCCTGACGTCGGAATCGACGGAGCGGTATGCGAGCCCGAGGCGCAAACCTGGAAAGTGCGAACGAGAGGGTGCAGGACGGTAACACACGTTGGGGCTGCGGGTGACAGAGCTACTGCGGCCTACTGGCTTGGGACTGTCGCTCGCCCCCCCAGTCAAGTCAAGATTGGATTAACTATACAATTACATAGTACAGCTGCTAAGTGGGAACGACCTGTCGACTACGGTACACCGGTCATCTACGACGGGGGAGCAGCCGGGAACGCCTCTGTTCCTGACGCTTGCCTTTGGGTGCCAGGCGGGGGAGGAAGCAGCATGGGGGAGTAGCCCTGTAGCAGAGTCAATATCCAGAGGCCTTAGTCGGATGCAGGGGCCAAACTTACAACGAGGAGCGACATGACTGTAACGCCCGTTAGTCTCGAGACCAAATCGTGGGAACGTGGCTGCACTTACTGGACATGCCGACCTGGAAGTAGGCGGGAGTGGACGAAGTCTGTTTCTGCTCGGCTGTCTCAGCGAGCCAAGCCTGGATGGCAAAGACGACGGCTACCCTGCGACTGTGTCAGGGTGAAGCATGGGGAAGAGAGAGAGAGAGAGAGAGGAGAGAGAGAGAGTTACCAGCCGATCATTCTGTGCAGCACATAGCGTGTCAGTTGCAGCTATTGGACAGATAGATTGAGGTAACTGCCTACTTGTTTCGGGTGAAGATCTGGGGTTCCCTATCAGCCGTGCAACATGGTGGTGAGAAGCGGAGGCGAGACTTACAGCAGCCATTGGCAGCGTCGTCGACAGCGTGCCTGGGCGAGATGACATGAGCAAAGCGACTTGTCGACGCGTCAAACGACTATCGGGCCCTACTTACTGGCCATGTCATTTTCGTCCTTGTTCTTTGCGGGCTCGGCGTAGGGCACGACTGCAGACGCGTGTTAGGGCACGTGATGCGGGAGATGGGGCTGGCAGTTGCAATGTGTTCAGTGGTTCAGTGGGCACACATACTGAGGTCGGCACGGCGCATATCCTTTTTGGAGTTGGAAGCCATGGTGTTTGCGGCGAGGGTGTGTGAATGATTGAGAGAGAGAGAGAGAGTCCTGCAGCGAGTACTGTACGGTATGTGGATGCAATGCAGGCAGGTCTCGTCTCGGGGGGGCGGCTCAGGGTGGCGGGTGTTGGACCCGGCCGGAATTTCAGATGGTCGCAGTCGCGGTATGCTCGCACTCGCTCGTCGTACTTGGCCCGTAGCCAGCCCGTAGCCTGTAGCGGACCCATGCTCGCTCTGGCGTATTGCCGGCTGATCGTCTCCGCTGCTCGTAAGATAGCCTCAGACCTCACATCACGTCAATCCCTCCAAGCCTCTCACTCACACGTCGTCTGCACTTCAACATCGTCGTCCGCACTTGCCAGAGGCCAAGGCGCATCTCCCCCCATCTCTATTCTTGCTTGCACATGCCGCCCAACAACGCCCGTCTCGGCCTCTGCTCTCCCAGCCCTCGGCCGCTCCCTTTGCCCTACTTGCGCCTGATACAACAATGAAGGCGCCCTGCGTGCGATGACTTCTCGACCTGGCCCGGGGATTCACGAATCTCTACAGAACCGAGGCAGCGGTGTGCCTCCTCGGACCCAGGCCCAGCGGCGGGCCTCCAAGCCCGCCCATACTCTCCTTCATCCCGACTGCATCGATCCCGCCCTGGACGACGAACGCCCAGCCGCCCACCATGCCGCCCACGACGCCGCATGTCCACCACCAAGAGGGCGTCCCCCGCTCTTCTACACTACAATTGCACAATATCCTCTCGACTTTCACCCCCACGGCCTACCATACCAGCCGTCTGTGAACCTTCCCGTGCCCCCAAGGCCCGGCCTGGTGCATCTAAGAGACGCCGCTCACCAGCGCCGCATCCTACCCGGTGGTAGTGGTGTCAAAGATGCACCCAAGTCTGGAGCACCTGAGGTCATTGTTCCGCCAGTCTATTTTCCTGGTGGAAAGCCTGCCGACCTGTTTCCGTGGACCGGCAACAATGCCGAGGACAACCTGACGGAGACGCTAGTCAAGGCCGGTGTCAGCAATAAGCCCCAGATCATGAACGAGTCTAATACCGCCCGCCCCTCGTTGATCAACAACCTCAAGAACAAGTCTGGACTCAGTACCCTGTCGACTCTCTTCGTCGCTGTGCTGGAAAAGCGGCAACAGACCGGTCGGCTGCAGACACCCAACACCTTCAAGCCGCCTCCACGACTAACCCTCCGAGATTCGACCCGTGAGCAATGGCTACACGACCTTGCTAACCCAAACACTGGTCTCCGTAGGCTCAGTCGCACCATCCCTCACGGCCTCACGGGCAAGGTGCTGCTAGAGCAATGTCTCAACAAGAACATACCGCTGCCGCGAGCCCTGTGGCTGGCCAAGTGCGTCGGTATCAATGAGCTGCGTGCTCACAAGAGGAAAGGACAGGCTGGTACTGTGACATGGGGAAGAGGCTGGACCAGCTCGGTAGAGCAGTTTATAGACGGCGTCATCGGCACCATAGGCCAAGGTGACTGGAAACCCCGCATTACCTATGCTCTCCAACTCGCCACCCATCTCTACAAAGAGCACCTCCTCGACGACGACCACTTTCTCGACTGGATAGTCGATGGCTTGGGCTCATGTCCCTCCGAGCGCTTGTTCATCTGGCTCCTGATTGTCTCCGTCTCACATTACTGGGCAGATGTTTCGTGCTGTCGTCGGCGCGGCAGGCGTCTTGCTGAATCATTACTCAACCAACTCGACAAGATCTACCGAGTAGAGGATGTGAATCCATACCTAGCCGTTTTGCACTACCTGGAGAATACCGTCATCAGGCTAATCGCAACAATACCGGCCTGTCTACTGCTTCCGACCGCCTGGGCAAAATACAGTCCCCTTCTAGTGCAGCTTGCTGAAAGAAGGAACCATCCACATGTGACGCAAGCCGTCCGGCGACTCGAGCAAAGAAACAGTAGGCTACTACAATCCTCGAAAAACCTTCCATCTGCCTCACAGACACCAGCTGGCCGTGTCTACCGAATTCTAGACTCTGTCGACTACAACAGGCCTGTTCGTATCGAGGACCTGTCTCTTGATTGCATGGAAGTCGTTGCGGATGCCCCACGGCTAATCGACATCCTGCTCCGCTGGGCGTGCTCGTGTTACCGAGAAGGGTCGCACCGGATTTACTTGGCTACCCGGTTGCTGCGTAAATGGGCGCATCTTGGCGCTGACGTGTACGATGGCATCCTGTCGCATTTTCACGAATTGACCTGGGTTGCTACTGGCGAATCAAGCATCCTCTTCAAAATCGTCGCCGAACTGGTTCGCTCCAAAACTTTTGCAACTGGGCGTTACCTCCAATGGCTGATTGCTACTGGGTCTATCGGGCACAGCACCGATCTGTCTTCTGTAAGTCGCATCTTCCATAATAGAAACATTGCCTCTAACCTTGACAGCCAACCGCCTGGGCATTGCGTCTAATAACAGAGATACCCCTCACCGGACTACCGGAGCAAATCCGACTCTTACGAAGCACCCTCTTACGTGGAACCATACATTCAGCCGAACAGGAACAACACGCTCTTTGCTATGTCGAACATATGATATCTCAGAGTTTGCCTGCCTTGTTTGGCCACTGTAATGCCGCGACCAGATTGAACGAATCGGAGCTGGACAAACTCAGTTCAACTGTGAAGCTTGAGCTCGGTATCTGGTTACGCCAACATGTTGCTCAGTATGCTGAAGTCAACCAGCAGTAAGTCCAATGACCGGAACATCTAACAGCTTACTCATTCATGCAGCGTACCCACCAAAGACCCGTCCGTTGAAGAGACCGCCGCAGTATCTTTGTTGACACCATTGGACTTTCATGTCGTGAGATCCTATCTTGAGCGTTTCGGAGATCTTGCAATACTTGCAGATATTGTTGGTATTGCGATTTCTTCCCTGGACCCAGGTGTTCTTGCTGCTGCCGCGGACACTCTCAATTATCACTCCAAGTCATTTCGCGCTATCGGTGCCTTCGACCCTCTATATACCCGAATCGCAGCGAGATATCTCGCCTTGCGGACAGTCCGATACCCCGATCGCGAGTTGCTACTCAGTCTCTCCAATCTGACTCGCCCGACACAAGCTGACAGTCAACTTTCACAACTTCTCAGCTATGACTTGGGCCAGCTCACCCAGAGAAATTCGCTTGCTGCCTGCTCGCCGGCCTCGGACAACATGGGTGAGGTCATGCAGACAGGTTCCTCCTCCGATGACGAGATCGAGCGCATACTCTCTAGTGGTAACAGTATGGATCAGCAAATGATGAGTCGAGTACTCCGCAAGATTGTAGGCAACCTAGAAGAGCATGCCGCAAAGGGCTCTGTGCAGTTGAACAATCAGCATGCTTGGTTCCATCGACTGCGCTGCTTTGATGAGTCGACATTTGACATGGTCGTCAATGAATGGTTGATTTTAAGCTTGATGGCTCAAAGGACTGAAACTCTGCGAGTGGCCTTGCCTACTCTAGTTGGTTCTGGCTGCATCGCACTGTCTTCTTTTCTGGACGCGATCCGAGCATGTGTTGCAAAGTTCAAGACCAACCCATCCGAGGGTGGTTTCCGAAGCGCCCTCAAGGGTATGCACATCATTCTGCCGTCTGAGACACTGGTACAGTGTTGCTCACCACAAGACGCTTACCGATATCGCCTCGAACAGCGAAGGTTATGCATGGCAGCAGAAAGCCGCTTTACGCATTGTATCAGTGAGATGATCGGGCTCGGCTCAATGTTGTCTTCTCAAAAGGTTCATGCGCAACTGTCACATCTGCTCTGCAGCAAGCCAGTGCTGTTCCTCTTGAAACATCACATCATTACTGACCCAGGATACCTATCCAAGCTGAACACTGATGCATCAAGCCATTACTTCAAGCAGTCGCTGGATATTCTCCTTGATCCTAACAGTCACCTGCGGCTATCGGAAAAGGACCCCGAAAATCGTATAGTCTCGGTGTTTGCACTTGCTAGCGAGCTGTCCTTGCCCATCTGCCAAGCGGCCCTCGAACAGATCTTCTCTTCTGGTGTCGCATCGCCTGGGAGTTCCCACGAGACACTGTCTGCTACTCTTCTTAGTGCCATCAGGACAGCAGTAGAGGAAGATCAGCCATCAGGCTTGGAGCTTCTTGCTAGTCTAGACGCGGCTCTGACTGAGCAAATACGGCAACACGCGGAACGTGAGCTCATCTCCGCATCGACCTTCTTGACCATACCTTCCAATGTGAAGGCAGATGAGTTTGAACTTGTCTCACCGACAGTCATACAGAAGTTCCTTACAGTAATCGATCTGACTTCAAGTAAGCGCACTGACACCACGGATCAGTCTGCTTTGCTTCAAGCCTTGATCGAAAGGTTCAAAGGCATTGCTCAGGCTCTCGACAACAACAGACTATCCATCTTGGACGTGTATGCTTGGTTAAGCGCGCTCCTTCGCCTGGTGGTATCGCATGCTTCGGCCATGCTGAGCAACGCCACACATCCCCACCAGACTGCCATGATGAGTGCCATGGCAGCTCTACTCACCCACCAATCCTTGGAGCTTTATCCCACGATTACTGAACATATCTTCGATGTAACGGTGTATCTTTCTGACTATATCTCGGACGATGTTCGATTCCACGTTACTCGTCTTGAAGGTATGAAGCTTGCGAACGACTCTCGCTGTGTTTTCATTCTAGGTGTGACTGCGCCTGTCGATGGCTGGCTGGTCCTGGCGAAACCCGTTAGCACTCCTATGAACCAAGTAACATCCCAGCCACCAACGCCGGCACCTCTCCAAACGCAGTCAACACCATACCAAAGTCCACAGTCGTCTGCAGCCGGGTCTGCAACACCTCAACAGCGCTACATGAATCAACAGCAGCAGCAACAACAGCGACAACAGCAATTGCAAGCCGCCCAACAGGTTCAACACATGCGCGCATCCCAACAATATCACCAGCATCCACAAAACAAGATGCTCCCGGTCCAACTCCAACGAACGCCTTCGAGTCAAGCCTCTCCATCTCCGCTCTCGCAAATGCAGCAAATGCAACAGATGCAACAGCGCGCCATGCAACCTTCGCTTGCCTACTCACAACGGCCGACTCCTGCAGCGGGTCAGGTTCATATGGGTAGTCAAGGGCAGATGGGTGGTCAAGCGCCAGGGAAGCCGCAAATGCGGCAAGAAAGGGACGTACGATACTACCCTTTCGTTCAACCCAGGTGGGAGATCTTGGCTGAGAGCTCTGGCAATCCGACTGGAAACGAGACTGCAATCAACTTGAGTCTTTTCGGTGCGCGCAAGGTATGAGCTAGTAGTTATTTTACTCGATTACGTCAGTTTCGACTGATGTGAACGGCCACCTTCGTTTCGTGTATGATCCTTTTCTTCGCTCTCGTTGTTTTATTCCCTCTATACTGGTGGCCAAATATGTGCTATATTTCCGGGTTTTTTATCCTCTCTCAAGCATGCAGCGTGGCGTTATCCGGGTCACTGCTATGATCTGCTCACGACATTGCATTACACCGGAGTTTGTTGTGTGGTTATGTTTCAGACCTGTTTTTATTTCTTTGCGTATGGCGATCTCCTGTAGTTTATATTTAGGTATTATGGTTCATTCCAAAGCTCGGTTTCGTGAGCGTAGAAACAGAAATGAGCTTGGGGGGCGTTGAGATGGGAAAGGCCGAGATGGACGGATGGGATGTGCATAGGCTTAGTACATGACGACGGGTTTTCTGATGTGTGTGGGTCAAGGGAAAGGAAGAAGTAAATAGAACGACAGTGAAATAGAAACATGGTTTCACAAATTGGTGTTGTACATTTTCGCTAGCTTTTGTGTTGCCTCGTTTTGGAACTCCTAGGCAAAGAAAGTTGCTTAAAACTCATCAACTTCATCAGGCCCACACCAGTTGTCAAACATGGGACCCAAGTCGAGCAGCACCTGACCGCTCTCGTCCCCACCTCCAGATCCCGATTCAGCCTGTACAGTACTCTCAACCACAGTCCACATATCAAACACATTCTCCGGCTCCTCCTCCTCCTCCTCGACCTCACCCTCGTCCTCCCCATCTTCATCATCCTCATCATCATCATCATCATCCTCATCCTCAGCATCATCATCATCATCATCATCCTCACTCTCCGCCGGTCCTCCAACTGACTCATATACACCTAACCTCTTACTCAACGCCACACACTCATCTACGAGCACGAGATCTGGGTTCTTCACCGCCAAATCAACATCGCCCCAGCCCCTATGTCTCACGATAAGCGGCGCGCCATTCCTCAACGAGTACGTCGTCTTACAGCCCGTCAGCTGCGACACATAGGAATGCTCATCTACCTTCCAGACTTCCGGGAACGCCAGACTGTTATCCTCGACGCCGATGTGGAAGCCGTCGGGGTCGTCTGGCGAGTAGATGTCGAGGCGGGTGGCGAAGTAGGAGGTGCGTTTTGTGTGGTATTTCATGATTGCGATGGCGGATTGGGGGACATAGCGGGTTATGGTGGTTTTTCCCTCCTCTTGATTCGAATTTGCGGTTCCGGCGTCATCTGCTTGGTTGTCGTTGTTGTGCTTGTTGGCGGTGTTGGTGTGATTGTTGTTGTGACGACGACCCGTACTAACACCAACACCAGGTCCACCGACGCCTAAAAACTGTAACCAAGGCTTCACACCACTAACCCAAGGTCCGGTTTCGTAGTTGCCGGATGGGGCATACGCCTTGCCATTCGGGTCGTAAATGACGCGATCTGAAAGGTCGGATTCCATGCCTCCAGATGAGTTGCAGCTGTATGCATCCTGCCCTATCCTCATCAAGCGAAAATCAGGAGCAGGGCCGGTTGATGCTTTTCCCTTACGACCCCATACGACCTTCTCAATCAGATCAATCGTCTCCCTAACGTGGCTCTCAAACACGATCGCGCGCTCCAACACCCATGGCTCTACCTTTACCCCCACAAACTGGATCCCCGTTATCCTCATCTCTAACAACCCCGTCCGCCACGCCGTCGCCGTCGCGAAAACCGCCTCGCAAGGCAACCATGCCGCTTTCTCCTGCCAGATGTCCAACAGATAGAACCACAGTGCCTGCATGTGTGCGCTGTCGCGCCAGAAGAAGTCGGAGAAGTAATCTAGCAGGACAGCGGCGCAGGCCCAGTAGTGAGCTGTGAAGTGTCCTTCGCAGGGGCCACAGGGCCAGGATGTGGGAGTGGAGCGGTGCAGGCAGGGCGGGTGGCGGAGGAGGGACTTTATGAGGGGGTAGGCGAATGCGAGGGGGATTTTTTTGGGGCCATTGATGTAGAGGCCGGTTAGGCGGGTGAGGTTGGTTGTAGTGGTGTCGATATGGGGTGGGATGGCTGTGAGGGTGGGCGGCGGTGGTAAAGTCGGTGGCATGGCGGTGGTTGCTGGGCTTGGATTGTGGTGTTGTTGATGTTGTTGTTGCTGTTGTAGTGAGATATTAGAAACGAGCGTGTATTGACCGTGGAGTTGTGGTTACGGACTTGCGTGTTGTTGACGTGGGATTTTAGAAGCGAGCGTGTGATGGCCGTGAAATTTTGGTTGCAGGCTTGCCTATTGGTGTTGATAAAGGTGAGAGACGTGGTAGACGCGATGCCAAGACTGTAGCCTGGATTTAGTTGCTATTGTGATGTGAATTAGGCGCAAACACGCCGTTGGAACAATAACATGCGATTCCCAGCATATATTCACCATTCGCCAAGCCTCTAGGGTCTTCTGTCCAATCAACTCCATGACGTATTATTACCTCAATCGCGCTCTTTACCCTACCACTTCGACATCCGGCTAAGCGTACTCATCCTTCCGTTATGCATATTACTCAACAGCGCTTCCTCGAGAGCCGACTGGCTGATACCAGCATCTATCCGATGTAAGCATGGTATTCAGTCATAAGTGTGCCCAGGACTCACCATCAATGTCGCTGAAGCTGCTACCCATGCTAGGTGTACCTTCACTGCCTTCTTTCCTGCCCCGTAGGCTTGCATGACGGGGACTACCGAGACGACCCAGCTCAGCGCGGTGGTTAGACACCGGGCTCATAGGGCTCTTTGCTGCAGATGGAGGTCCACCAGAGCTAGTCATAGATGATGCTGCCTCTGTCGTAGCTAGCGAGTGCACATCCATTGATGTCTGTCTTGACGGCGGCGCCTTTCTCGTGTCATTCTGGGGCATCTTCTGCTCGGCTCTGCTACTAGCACGGTGTGTGTCTTGGGGGTACTTGCTACTGCTTGGCTGCGTCCTCGCAGCCGAGGCAAAGGGCAGACTAGTCTCATGCGAACCCGAGTCGTCAATCTCTTGAATACCATCGCCTTCCTCAAAAGTAGCCAGATCACGCATCCTCTTCTGCTGGAAGCGTGGCGGGCGCTTGAACAGTTGACTTCGATGAGCGGGATGATCGGTGTCAGACAATGACGATGAGCTTGAAGACGACGACTCGGCAATATCTGGAGATGCTGTCTCTTCGTCTCGATAATTAGCAGAAGTTACGATAGGAGTCCGCGGAGTATCCCCAGAGTTTCGACTCGTCAGACCAGGACGCTGATTAGAGCGTGTAGACAGATTCCGAGTAGGTACTTGAGCTAGCGCCCGGGATTGCGTGATCGTAGTTGTTGACGGTGTCCTCGATAGTGACGGGGCTGAGATATGTGAGTAAATCCGTTGCGTAGAATGCATGTATCACACGCTTCAGTGTACTTACCAGGCATCGTTATCTCAGCACCTCGCAAACTAGGGCTATCTCTTGAATGCCCAGCCAGAGCTGAAGGAGCCCTCCCTGCTACTCAACTTAACATCAGTCTTCTAGAAGCATCATCAAATGTATAAATACCTCCTGATCCAGCGCTCCCTCCCCTTCGCATCGCGACACCGCCTATAGCGGTCAGGGTGCTACCACCTGTTGGCGATGGCGATGGATTAGCATTCGAAATACTAACCCTCTTCATCTGATTTCGAACATGGTCCAGGTGTCTCTCGTAAAGCCATGCTGCCTGTTGTAGAAGAAACGTTGGTGGAACCTGAAACTTGTCTGCTCTACGATATAGTCAGCAAGGCCAAGGCAGCATAACTAGGGAGGCGAATGCATACAAATCGACCCCTATGACATATTAGCGCTCAGTACGAGATTCGTATCGACAAATACTCACAGTCCAGATCACTGGTCTTTGAAGTTTTTGATATAACCTCCCATAGTTGACGATCCCTTTCAGCATCCCACTGGGCCTGTTACATTGATTAGATGAAGCTCCCGGAGCGTAGACTGATGTATATTACCTGCGGCGGGTCTTCAAAGTCACCCCGGATGAACGGGAAACGTATCAAGGCCGTGAACTGAACGGAAGACATGTGGAATTTGTGTGATGTTTACGTGGAGTGAGTTGATGGGTGGAGAGGTGGTCCGTAAGGTGTGGTCCCGGGGTTGATCTATCCGATGAAGTTTGGCGTGAGCTGATCTACGCCCTGGCACGTGTGGCCGGGCTGAGCTGCGGGCTTGTCCAACTCTACAAAGTCGGACTTTCGCTGAGCAGCTATGTTCATGGCGATAACAAGTGTATTCGCATGAATGGAATCCAAATAGCCCAAGACCTGCAGCGCTACCTTTAACCGTCCGCATTGGTCTCGTGCAGCCATCACAAACCAAAGCCCGCTAGCACCGCCACATCGCATGCGCCACAGGCCCCGCGAACTGGTTGCAGGTACAAAATACTCGACGGACAGCCGCATAAAATCTTCCCAAACAGTCATCCTTAGCAACTCCCAATACAACGACGGTCAAAATGTTGACATCAGCAGTCACAAATATTGACATCGAAGGCAAGCTGCCAAAAGTTGCCTCTGGCAAAGTCCGCGATCTATATGCCATCGACGATGACACACTACTCTTCGTCGCCAGTGACCGCATATCAGCATATGATGTGATTATGGAAAATGTGAGTTCTACAGTCGCCTCAAAAGGAACAAACCAGATTTCTAATAAATTCAACACCAGGGCATCCCCGGCAAAGGCGCCCTCCTAACCGCCATGAGCATATACTGGTTCCACCACCTCCCCACCCAAGTCCCAGGTCTAAAAACCCACTTCCTTACCTCCTCCCTCCCAGCAGCCCTCTCAAACCAAACCGATCTAAAAGATCGATCCATGCAAGTCCGCCGCCTACGTATCCTGCCCATTGAATCCATAGTCCGCGGCTACATCACGGGATCAGGATGGTCAGAGTACACCAAATCGGGAACCGTCAACGGTATCAAGATGCCTACTGGATTGATTGAAGGTCAGAAGTTACCGGAACCGCTCTGGACGCCAAGCACCAAAGCAGACGTCGGCGGCAAGGATGAAAATATATCTCCAGAAAAAGCTAGAGAGTTGATTGGCGATGAGAAGGTAGCGAAGAAGGTTGAGGAGTTGTCGTTGGCGATTTACCAGGCTGCTGCGGAGCGTGCGGAGGAAGTGGGGATTATCCTTGCGGACACCAAATTTGAGTTTGGGGTTGATGAGGGGAGTGAGGTTGTGTTGGTAGATGAGGTCTTGACGCCCGATAGCTCGAGGTTTTGGCCAAAAGAGTCTTGGGAGAGCAATCTGGGCAAGGCACAGCCGAGTTTCGATAAGCAGTTTTTGAGGGACTGGTTGACGAGCAATGGGCTGAAGGGGAAGGAGGGGGTCAAGGTGCCGGAGGATGTGGTTGAGAGGACGGCAGCGAAGTATCGGGAGGCGTGCGAGAAGCTTACGGGGAAGAGTGGATAAGCGAGGAATAAGATGGTAGGAAATGGTAGGGGAAGCCTAGTGGGATGGCGCCCTAGTGTGTAGTTTACGACTGCCCGTCAATGAAAAGAATTGACATAAATACTGAGTCTTGCAATATAGACCCATAGATGTCCCACAGCCCTCAGAAGTCAAACAGTCATCCTTTGACATGTATGTATATGTGATGATGTTTTGTTCATTCACTTGCCATTAACTATAAATAACATTCGTATACATTAAATCAAATCATGGATATCGTAGCGTAAACATGAAACATTTTACCCTTGTAATCTGCCTCCTCATATATCTCCCACGGTGAATCAGTTTACACTGAGTACTCGCTCTTAACCCTCCGCTGGGAATCGGTTTCCAAGAAGCTTCCTCGGTTACGGTTCGACTTGGCAGAGCGGCTTCGACGCATTCCGGAAGAACTATCGTTTCCAAGGCGGCCACCGAGACAGAACATGATGGTAGCCAGGAAGAAACAGGCTACAGCAGCCCAGGTGAAACCCATCAAATATCTTCCAATGCTTGCTTCGAAACCGGCAGATCGGAAGGCATCGCGACCTTTGATAACCCATGCGCTAGTTTGGCATTAGTACTGTTTCGCAGGTATTTGGAGCAGTGACAAACTTACGTCATGAGAGCAGCAGCAAGTGTCTGGAAGAACAGGGCAATGGAAGTCATCAGGGAAGATAGGTATCCTCCAAGACGGCTGCACAGAGCAAGAAGACCAGACACGAGAGCAACAGCAGCAAAGAAGAGAGCGATGAGGTAAAATGCGAACATGAAGCGAGACAGGTAGTAGTACTGGTATGTGCCAATGAACTGCTCAGGAATGTTCTGCTGGCTTCCAAAGTTCCTAGGAGGGTCGAAGGGAAGGGCTGGAACAGGTGCACCACAATTGGCGTTGCGTCCTGAAGATGGGTCGGCACCGCAGATGGCGAAGAAAGTCCATCGTGTCGGGTTTCGTGCGTTGGGGATGCCGTTTGTGGATGCTTGGAGAAAGTAGAACTTGTCGAGCGGAGAATCGTTGACGCCGCCAGTCAGAATGTTGAGGAATTGAAGGAGGATTCCAGCAGCGACAAGTATCAACGAGCCAAAGGCAAGAAAGGGTCCTAGGTAGCATGTTAGTAGATGCACAGCTGAAAAAGGAAGTAACAACGCACTAGCCGGGCCTGCCATGGCAAAGAGTGTCGCAAGGACGGGAATGGATTAAGTTAAGATTACAGCAGCGGTACGGTGCACGGCAACAGTGCTATTAAAGACGGACGATTGGGCGTGCAAGCTGGTTTAAGAATTGTTGGCGAGACGATGACGTAGGCGGGTGAATGGCCTGGCTGTACCGCTAGCTCAATGACGGCCTCACTAGGTCGCTACACCGTCACTGGCGCTTTGCCTCATCCCGAGCGATGCGGGAGAAGAAAAGGCGCGGGACTTACCTGAAGCATATTGGCGGATGCGGCTGATCCAAAGAGTCTCGAAGCGCGTGTTTCGTTGCTCAAGTATAGACGCAGGACGCTTTCAGGTGTCATGAATGCAGGGATACCGGTACGCACCTGGCTCGGGTACAACCGAGGCCAACGCTCTGCAGCATACTGATACCAACTACCTGCTTCGCCGTGCATGACCAAGTAGGCCTTGCAACTACATCAAGTATATCGTCGCCATGTCCACCGCCGTGTGGCCGCCCATCGATGACGATCGTCTTGCTCGGGAGCAGGCGGCGTCGCAAGCCCGCGAGCTCGAGTGGCTGTTGGTGCAGCTGGGTGAGACGCTACAGTCGCTGAAAGCAGGTCTAGAAGAGTGCGCTGCCCTGCTTGCGCCCTCTGAGAATGCTTCGACGCTTGTGCTATCCTCTGTACGCTCTGAGAGCCTCAAAGGGCTCGTTACGCGCATCGGTACTCGCATCACCAAAGGCGTATGTCTCCGCCAGTCTCCGCGATGCCCGTCGCGATTCCATGCATACTGACCATCGGCAGAACATCAAGCTACGCCTTGCAAGCCTCCCACCGCCCAAAGGCTCTCTGACCTACGACCTTACCATCTCTTCTGCACCACACGCCCCTACACTCGTCGTGCCTCAGCTTATTTCAATACGCACGTCCATCAATAGCTGCTTAGATGCCATTGACGTTGCGACATGGGGAGGAGATGCTACCAATGCCAACTTCGTCGCCGGCCAGCTGCAGTTGCTACATGATCACATAATCGAGGCCCAAGCATCACTCAAGGGTCACTCGGATGTGCAGGTGCCATGGTGGGAAAATGCGGTAGATGAAAAGGTAGCTGTCTATGGCAGACCACAACTGTCCTACAACACTAACAATGACTCCAGACCTTCGAACCCCCTCTACCACCTACTGTCTCCTTTCACTTGTTCGTCTTCGATGCAGCTCTCGTTCTCGAAATCCGTACTCTCGAGCCACATCAGGCCGGCGACAGCTCATCGCTCACCGGATTCAGCCTTCGCAACACTTTCGCATCAGCCCTCGGTGCTACACGAGCCCCTGCGCATGATGAGGCTGACCGCACATTCAAATATAAAGACCAAGACGTCCGCGTAAAAGAGAAGATACGAGTTGAGAGCCAAGATCCAGCCCTCATCTCCGCCTCGGCAAAGCTCAACGCCCTTGGACACAGCCTGATGCTGAGCCGAAAAGCGCTCAACATTGTCATGGGTCGTGACGAGCAGATTGACTAACTCCACTCGAGTTTGCAAGCAGTCGATTGCACCATCTGCCATTGGTTGTGTGCACCACTCAGATGTCACCTTTTTCCGCGGGGATGCCGTTAGTGGGGATCGCGCCATATCGGCTCGTCGCTATCGGAACAAATAATGGGAATGTGCATGACCAATACCGCCGCCGAGGAGTAATCGCATCGACATATTCCCTACTAATACAATTGCCCCTCTTCTGAGAATTGCAAGTCACCACCACTTTTCCCCATTTTAGTTTCCATCATGGCGCCTGCACTCCTCACGGCAGTTGATGCCACATCCCACATCCACCTTATAATCGGTTCCAACCCACTGGCAGCTGCACGATGCTCGCGTTCGATAGAAGTTGGTGCGAAGCCAATACTCCTCGCACCAGAAGATTCCACACTGCATTATGGTCTAGCCAAGCGCATCGAGGCGGGCCAAGTGCACTGGGTGAAGCGAAGTTTCCAAGAGGAGGATTTGACAACACTTGGAAGAGCCGAAGTAGATGGCGTCGTAGACGCTGTCTTTGTGACTGCGGCAGGCAAACAGGCATCATGTACGCTTTGACGGTCAACCCCTCAGGACTTCTTCTGACTCGCCACAGCAACCCAAATATCTAGTCTTTGCCGGAGACTACGCATACCCATTAATGTCGCCGATGCACCGAATCTCTGCTCTTTCACGCTCCTCTCCACACACTGCGATGGTCCTCTGCAGATTGGTATAACAACATCTGGAAAGGGTTGTAAGCTCTCCGCAAGAATCCGGAGAGAGATTGCTGCATCGCTACCCCCACGTCTGGGTGAAGCAGTGGAGAGACTAGGCACACTACGAAGACGTATATGGGAGGAAGATCATGCAGCCGAACTGTCGCAAGATATCGAGGCAGAAGAAGAAGACAGTGGGCAGCCAGCCACGTTCAACAAGTTAATCTTGGAAGAGAGCAAAGAAGCAGCCCGCGGTCGTCGCATGCGTTGGCTATCCCAGATATGCGAATACTGGCCGCTACGCCGTCTTGCGTCCATCACCGACACAGACGTCGACATGTTATTCCGCGAATTCGCCAGTAGCAGCCCCTCCAAAGTTGGCCCAACCACGACGACCCCGCAACGAGTAGGACGCATTATTCTTGCAGGCTCTGGTCCGGGTAATCCCGACCTACTCACGCGCGCAGCACACAAAGCCATCCTTTCCGCTGACCTAATCCTTGCCGACAAACTTGTTCCCGCACCAATCCTTGACCTCGTCCCCCGCCGTGCAACCGTCCACATTGCGAGAAAGTTTCCCGGCAATGCAGACAAAGCGCAAGAAGAGCTCTTGGAACTCGGCCTAGAGGGACTGAAAGCCGGCAAAGTGGTAGTCAGGATAAAACAGGGCGATCCATACATCTACGGCCGCGGTGGCGAAGAATATGACTTCTTTCGTGAGCACGGCTTCATACCTAGTGTACTACCTGGTATCACGAGTGCACTCAGCGCACCGCTATTCGCCGCTATACCCGCAACACACCGCGGTATCGCCGATCAAGTGCTCATCTGTACCGGCACCGGCCGCAAAGGCGCTCCTCTCGATCCCCCGGAATTCGTCCCTTCACGCACAATGGTCCTACTGATGTCTCTACACCGTCTCTCCGCGCTAGTCGAGAGTCTAATCGGTAAAGGATACCCCATAGACCTCCCAGTCGCCGTGCTCGAACGGGCATCGTGTCCAGACCAAAGAGTCATCAGGACGACTTTGGAACACGTTTGCGCTGCCGTCGAGGAAGAGGGGAGCAGACCTCCGGGCTTGTTGGTTGTGGGCTATGCTTGCAAGGTGCTTATCAAGCATGAGCAGAGATGGGTGGTGGAAGAAGGATTCCATGGCTTGGATAATCTAGGTGGGGATGGCGAGTTGGAGATTAGTAGACTCGTGCATGATGCTACTGCTGCTACGGCAGTGGCGGCTTAAAGTAAATCTAGTTAAATTTGAATTCAACATCGCAATTCTCGCCATGGTCTTGTTGTCGTTGAGGCTTTGTTTGATATGTGATATATTCTCATTACAAGGCGTCATACATACAGTCTCGCCTCTATATACACATACATACATTCCATCTTCAGATCGTTATCGTCCCATTCACATATCCATCTACATATCATTACCGGCGTCTTTCGCCTGCTGCTGCTGCTGTACACCATGCAACTCCTTTTCGTAACCACATCCACTGAAGGAACCTAAACCCACCCGTCCATATATACGCCGTTAGAAGCCGTGAAAACGTGACCTTTCGAAAAACCGTAGAAACCCCGTGTAGGAAGTTCTTGTATGACCACCCAAAGAAACGCCGATGCTAAATGAAGAAAGCAAATTTTTGTGAAAAGCAAGAAAAAAAATGTAAAACCGTACGTTCATCATATCAGGCCATCTCAAACCTGACTAGACCAACTCTTCCTCTTACCGTCCTGCTGTTCCTCCCAAATAACAAGTTCGCGACCACTCCGATCACCGCCTCTGCGAACGCGATCGATGCCAAGATGTTCGAGGCCATCGCGACCAACGTGGATACCGAAGCCATATCTGATGCTACCGGGGTCATCAAGGGCTTCGTGCTGCTCAGCGCTCGTACGGTCATTCCGAGATTTCTCCGCCATAGCAGCAGCGGTGGTGGGAGAATCGCCTCTTAGATTATTCCTCGAAGGGCGGACGAGAGAGGCGACGGAGCGGGCGAAAGAACGTTCTGCGTACGCGGTGCCCATGAGGCGAGCGACGAGTTCAGGTTTAGTTTGAGGGCGGGCGAAGGCGCGGTCGGTGAGGATGGGGGATTGGTAGATCCAGGAGATTATTTCGGCGAGCGTGTTGCTGCGGTGGGGGAGGGCGGCGAGGTGGCGGTTTGGCCAGAGGGCGAGAAGACTGGTGGCATAGAGGGCGAGGAAGAAGCAGAGGGCGTAGTAGCCGGATAGCTCGGCGGAGACGCGGACGATGTCATCGGTGCTGTAGTATTGGGTCCAGAAGCAGCCGCCTGCTATGATAGGGATGGAAATGGATACGAGTGAAACGAAGGATAGGACTACCACTTGAAAGTGCTTGTTTTCAAGTGCTGCCAGCGTGACCGAAAAAGGGAGGCGGCAGGCGTAGTCGACAAGGAGGGATGCCTCAGCGGTTGCTCCACCTTTGGAAGACAGGGCAATGTACGGCTGGAGTACGCGGAGTGAGTAGTCGAGTGACAGCAGGGACAGGAAAAGGAAGTTTCCAATGAGTGCTGGGATAAACGAATAGAGGAAGTTTGAAGCAGAAAATCCATCGGAACCTGTGCGAGCAAAGACTTTTGGTAGGAACCCTAGCCGGACTGCGCTGTTGATGAAGCTGATGACCAGAAAGGCAACCAACAACGCAAGGGCAATGACTATCCAAGCGATGACTGAACCATCTTTCAGGTACCATGGCAAGAATCGCAATCGCACACTTGGACTACGAATGTCCATGCGGATAGAAAAGTCATTGCCTTCAGCTGGTGCGGAGTTCGCGCGCTCTGCTCCTCGTTCCCTGATGCGTCCAGCTTCAACCGAAAATCGTCGAATCTCCGCGCCCTCTTCACCAATGCCATAAAAGACATCATTTGGTCGGCTCGTAGTAGTCCAATAACCAATGCGATCAGCACGGTTACTAACAAGGTGCCAGTCCGCCTTTTCAAACGTCTCCGAATTGGTGTAGTCGCCGAGGTTGTTTGCGCGTTCGAGAAGCGCAATAATATCCGCCAGAGATCGAGGATCCCATTTCAATCCGGTAGGGTTGCGCATGAGGAACACCATCAAGTAAATCAGAGCGATGATGAGGAGAATGTAAAGGACAATGACAGTCCAGATGACGCCTTGAACAGTGACCCATCTCCAGACGCCACGCCCGAGGTCGTATCGTACATTGAAAGAAGAAGCAAGAAGGGGTATCGTCCAAGTAAACAGCCATGCTATGATGAAGAAGACTCCGACTCCGGGGTGTCCGGCGCGGAAGTGCTCAAATCTTGGTAGCAAGAATTGCGTGGGATACAACCGCGAAAAGACAGCTTCGGATCGTAGGCGGAATGAGTCCGAGTAAAGGGAGATGAAAGGTATGAGGCGCTGGAGAGCCGTCTGCACTTGAATGAGCCAGAGGAGCATGAGCATTCCCACTAGAGTCGGAAGATAACGAAAAACAAAGTAGCGACCGTCGCCAAAAGCCTCATAGTCCCAGAGCCCATAACCTCCATTGCGATTTGAGTAAACAGCGGAGAAGATGAGTGCAGCGACCACAACCAGACAGAGGAAGATGTAGAGACACAACCAAAGCGGGCGAAGGATGGCGGGGAGGAAGTGTAGAGGTATGTGTGGTTGAGAATGCGCTATGAAAACGTCCTTTTGGGAAGAGGACGGCTGCCGTCTGTGTTGTTTGTCTTGTGGTGGGTTATATGGTTGAGTTGCCATCGGTGCGGGGGCAGCAGCAAGTGGTGTCGATGACTGTCTCAAGGCCTTTCGGGGCATGTGCTGACCCATTCGCTCCTGAGTCCTCTGGTCTTGCGCCATGTATCCCAATCCATTGTCGTGGATGATTCTGTCGACAGGATAGTCTTCTTCATCCTCTGGCCGAACCTCTGGGTATATCCTCGATCCTCTAACCTCTTCATCTCGAGTAAGTTGATCGATAGCGAAGCGAATGTATGGTGTTGTATCCTGGCCCGGTGTGGTTACTTGCGATTCAGTATCCATGCCGGACAGCAGTTGTGATCGTCTCGTGTCTTGCGTCACTGGTCTCGACTCCTCTGCAATGGTGGATACGCCTGGCGACTGAGGGCGGTCGTGAGCAAAGGAAGGCTGATGAGGCGGAAGCTGTTGTCTTGGAATACCAATCCCGCGCAGTGAGGTTACTGGAATATCAGTATGTGGCACTAGCTGCTCATGACTCTGTGCTGGTGTTCGGTATTGAGAAGGCGGTGTCTGGTAGAGAGGCTTCCTTTCTTCACTGGAGCTGGATGCTTGCTCCGATGCACTGTAGAAACCCTCAGAAGCAGCCAGTGAAGCAGCTACACTCAGTTGTGAGCTTTGGTGGGATAGCTGAGGTTGGGAAACTAGAGCTTGGGTCAGCAACATGCGTACCTTGAACACTCGACGCAGCGTACCTACCGTTGGTTTGCTTGAGTTGGAACTCAGGCCCCACACTCATATCTTCCCTATTACGCTAAATCAAGTGGAGTTGTGCAGGAATGTAGCATGGTGAAGTTTGCAGTCGCTGGGTGCTGCTAACTTTTCTATCGGGAGGTTGGTGCATTACGGAATTAGTGTGGCTGGTTCTCTACGAGATGGCTGGCATATGCAGGAGCACGTCACAGGGCGGTGTTCCAGGCTTCTCTCTACCATAGGTGCGACATGTACCAAATCATCAAATTAGCCCGAGCGAGAACAAGTTTCTCGTGTCTAGCGAGTATCATTCGTGGATGAGGTTGCGGTATGGCTCTGCTGTGTTGGCATCGATAGCTTCCCCGCGGCCATGCGCGAGCGCCGAGGCCCAGCCTCACTCAACACTCATCTTCCAGCAACAGCCCTGCATCTTTTACTACTCCCACTCGAATCGATTGAGCTCTCATTTGGACGCTGCGACCGAATGACGCGTATGTATGAGTCTTGAGAATCGTCAGCTCTGTCTACTGTAGTCCGGCGGTAGAGAAAAGTCCAGTATCCCTATTCCTGCCCAACAAAGGCGTGACCACTTGGAGTGCTTCAGGCGAGAATTTCCTGTCGTGTGTGAAGGTCTGTTCGACAACAAGGTTACTACTATATTTCTTCTCTTATCGAATTAACTGGACGATCAACTCAATCATCGCAGACCGGTCTGTGGACTTTTTAACTATGCGGGCCTGGATGGTACCGCAGCTTCAGCTTAAGCTTCAGCTTCAGCTGTGCAATCGGCGACTTCGCAGCGCCGATGCTTGCAGCTGACGTATCTTTGCGCACAGCCGCACCAACTCCTCAGTTCCCACCATTGCGCCCACATGGTGACCGCTTTCAATCACACTGGGGGCCTTCAATCCTACTGTAGCCTCTAGAGCCCTCTTGGCGGAATGCTTGGCGGAATGCTGATATCTGGTGGAGTCGCAGTAGCTGTTGAGGAAACGGCCCTTCGTTGCGACGTATCTCGGGTCTGAATGTGACTAAATCAGCCACCAAAAGAATCGAACATGATCAGTTCCGCCTCGCTTCTCCTGACCATCTTGATTTAAGACACTTCTTGGGTGTTGCAAGAAAAGGGCGATCGGCTACTTTTCATGACCTTCTTCATCAGGCATGATGCGGGTACCGTAACCTCGTGTCGACTTCCCGTTATTGTGCCGTCTCTCTCATTATCTGTAATGAGGGCTGTGCTGAATCTCTCGCGCTCAAGCCATGCTCTGCCACCCAACGCGGGTCAGGTTCCTGAGGCGTCAATCCTTCGCTTACTTTCTTTCAGCTGCCAGTACGTAATATACGGTTAAGCTTTTGACAAGGTACCAAAATATCCCAAGCCCTTCAGCCACGATACAGGAAAGTGATGGCTAGTCTATATTGAGCAAGATAGGTCTCGATGAATGCATGTCGCGTATACCGTCTGGTACGGATAAGGCAAGGATGCGTTCAGGCGTTCTCCCTCTACTACATGCTAACCTCGTGCTGTTCATCTTCGGAACTACGGTAAACGGCTACGCCTTGCTCTTTAGTCTTTCGTTATCGTGCTTCTCTTTACTTACTCTCTCCCACCGTCATTTCTTTCACTCACTTACCCCACTTCGCTTAATTCACATTACCCATCCCGCTTTCCTCATCTTAATCTTAGATTTATTGTCAATATACCAACAAGTATCACCTTGGCCAGTAAATATCTAACGAGTAGCCTGTGATATCGGCGTAACTATCGTCATGGCAAACTCTTCGTTCTTCGACTTCCATTGCGAAGCCGGAGCTGAATGGTAAACAATGCATTGCAAGTCGTTGGAGATCACCACTGATACGATACAGGTATGCCTGTGCCAGCGGAAGCAAATTCGTAGGGTGCTGCGCGGCGGATCCGTGTTCTAATGGATGCGCGCAAGGCAGCATTCGCCCCGGTGAATTCAATATCACACATCACGGCGAATTCCCCGATGCCAGTTGTGGCGCTGCCAGCAACTTTTGGTCGTGCATTGCGGGACCCTCTTTCTGGGGATGTTGCAAGTCGAATCCTTGCAGCACAGGAATATGTCCGCAAGGAGATCTAGTACCTGCTTTTATGGACCGACCAGAACAGCTCCAAGCTTATGCTTCAGCAAGCTCTACTGCTGATGCTTCCGCAACCTCCACTGCCAGTGCTTCAGCAAGTCCTACGGCCGACTCTTCAAGCAAAAGCAACACTGGCGCCATTGTCGGTGGGGTAGTGGGTGGAGTGTTTGTCATCGGTATTATCGGAGCATTCATCCTGTTCTTCCTTCGTAGGAGGCGCAATCGCAAGCGAGAAGAAGGCTACATGGGATCAGTAACGATGGTACCGATGATGAATGCAGAGAAGCACGACGAGAACAGGAACTCAATGCAGTATGACGGTCGGTCACGTAGGTTATTTGATTCCATTTTGAAATGACTAAGCTAACATCGACGATAGCACCGCCTACGTATTCTTCTCCCGAGCAAAACTACCAGCAAGGTTTCCCCGCCAAAGGCCAACACTCGTTTCATCAATTCGCCAGTCACGCAAGCGAGCCCCAAGAACTGCCTGCAGATTTTACTCCGCCTCGAGAGCGATATTCGGAACTTCCAGCCGACATCTCGCAAGGCGTTGATAACCGGCGGTTTTCCGAGCTTCCTGCTGGAGCCAAGGAGCCCGCACGGCCATCAGAGCTCGAATCGCCAGAGATATCCCCCAGGCCTCAACAAACAGAGTTCTCAAACGACATGGCTAAACGTACAGGTGAGAGCGGAGGATTGGGCATCAGCTAAGCGATTGCTTGTGTGACAGAGATGTACAGTTTTGATCTCAGGGCGAATTCGTCTCTGAACATAAGTAAGAAAGTGAAGAGCTCTGTAGAGCTGTCGGCAGATGGTGAGCGATGGGTTTTCAGTCTAGTGCACAAGGATAGGTACCATGGTACTATCGAGGAGATGGAGATCTCCTTGTATAAGAAAGAAATCCGTCCCCGATACCCTATTTTCTTCTAAACCTGTATATACCTACAACTTTAATGTATGTTAGTTTGACGTGTAGCCTTGCTCGACAGAGCGGCCTTGACATTAATCATTTCATTTACAAATACCAAACATTCGAGACATAGCTACTAATCACGCTCGGCAATTTTTACCTTTTTGTGTTCTAAACAGTACTACCTGGCCCCAAGAATAGCCCCCAATCTGACTTCCAGAAGCATTCGTCTGACTGCGCCGCCATGCAGCATTTACGCCCCCATCCCGAATTTGTCCTCGATGCCCGCACCACATCATCGTACAACCTTTTCCCTTTTTCAATTCCTTAGTCTGGAAATTTGCTTTTGTCCCAATCGCTGCTGCGCCTGCGCTTGTTCCAGCTCCATTGTCTAGCTCCGCGAGCTGTGCCACTCACATGCTCGCTTAACGTTAATCGCAGCTGCCATGCAACAGGAAGACACCAGTTTCTTACTTGCAGCAATCCACACCCACGCCGCACAAGCTGTGCTGCATCATGCGACCTTTAAAGCAGCCTTGGAACGGGGCGTGTTCTTGGCATCCTATGGGCTTGCCACATTTGCTGAGTGGCTAACGATAATCGAATGCAGAATACGACGGCTGAGCCGCAGCATACGCCATATACTGGCTTTGTCCGTCTAACCATGCATCTGCGCTGAACATGGGGTTCAGGCGGCCGGGATTGAGGTCTTGGTTTCAGGTCTAAGTGGGTTTTTCTTTTCGTCATCACCTTTATCTGTTCCATCTCTTTGGGACACCGAGTACGTCTGTCTTCTTGGGCTGCTTTTCGCTCGCTCCCCTCACAAAAGAGTGTTACACTGTATTTTTCTTTTTGTGAGTTCCGCTGTGTGGGAGGGTTATATCAGCTTTCATCAGCTTCTCATAGTGGATCATGTCGAGCAATCTTACTGTCCGTCAGGACTTTTCCCCTTCTTGTCCGTCTGGGGGTACATGGTGGGCTTGTGGGTATGGGACGTAAGTGACAGTGCCCTCTATCTATAATTCATTCAATCTCTGACGTTGAACACTATAGATACTTCGTCGGTTGCTGTGCCAGAGATCCGTGTGACATTACTTGTGCAGCTGGTAACTTGTATCCCGGAGCCTTTGACCCAACGCAATATGGAAAGTTCCCGGATGCTACGTGTGGCACGGGCAGTAAATTCTACACATGTACAGCTGGCCGTAAGTCCATATCTCTAGCTGATCTCTCGAATGTATCTAACTCTAGCAGAAACTTTTTGGGGCTGTTGTAAAACAAACCCATGTGCCCAAGGCGGCTGTCCAGATGGTGACCTCGAAAACGCAATCCTAAATCGGCCTGACCTACTCAGTGCGTACCATGCTACTGGAGGTTCGACAACAATTTCGAGTGCGACAGCTACTTCATCGCCTACATCTACGGGAGACGCTACTGTAACAGCGGCCAGTGTATCCTCATCAGCTACCGCATCTTCACAGCAAGACAGCAAGACACCAGTCGCAGCTATAGCAGGCGGAGCAGCCGGAGGTGCATTCGCCATAGCAGCAATAGTAGGCCTATTACTATATTTCTGTTGCTTCAAAAAGCGACGAGATAGAATATCAAGATCGCAAACCATGCCGCTAGTCAACGGCATGACAGAAAATGACCAACAACATCCCCACGTAAAACCCGGCGACGGTAAGTGAAAGAACACACTCGTATCGATGGTTTCGCTAATATAAACCCGCAGCACCCCCCTCATATACCTCCCCCAACCCAAACTTCAGTACCTCAACCCACACATTCTACAACCCACACACCCATCCTCCCGTCCCCCACGACCCGCACTACATGACCTACGCCTACAACGCCAACGCCCATAACAGTCCCTACGACCTACCCCACCCCCACCAACCCCCCCAAGAACTCGCCCTCACAAGCCCCACAACCGCACCATCTACGCCTCATCAATTCCGCTCGCACAAAAGCATGTACGGCCATGTACGCGGGCCCTCTGAACTCTCGGGCGAACATGCACTTAGTGAGTTGAGTTCAGGACCGCAGTCGCCAGATATGAGGGGGAGTGGAGTTTGGAAGGGAGGGATGGGTGTAGGAGGCGGAGAAGAAAAGGTTATGAAGAGTGGATTTGGGATTGCTGCACGGAACGCGGCGGGAGTTGGTCCTTTGATCGAAGACCGGGACCGAAATCAGCATCAGACCCCGCACTGGGAAGAGGTAACAGCCGAAGAAGAGGAAACAGCCAAAATCGCTAGACCCAGACATCAAACGTCTTCTCCACCGCCGCCGCGGGACTCAACGACGACTTCTTCTCCTCCACCACGGCACCCAACACCCTACCGCACATCCCGCTCCCATCCTCCGTCTAGATCTCATTCCCCTTCTCCACCCGCATCTCCCTCACCATCACTGTCTCCATCACCCCACCAACCCGCACTTCCAAGACGGGGAGGCGGGGAAGAAGAGTTTAGAACAGTGAGGAATTGGATGGCGCCTCAGAATTGGGATTCGCCTCGTACGACAAGTACGCCTCCTCAACAACAGGGGACTCCGACACAAAGGCGCATACGGAGGAAGAAGAGGATGGAGGGGATACCTGGTGATAAGGGGAGTGTGGGAAGTAGTAGCGGAGGGAGTACTGGGAATGTGCAAGGGTTGGGTGTTGTTGGTGTGGATAGCCTGGAGGGAGAGCAGAGTAGGAGGGGAGATCGAGACGGTGGTGAGGGTGGAGAAGTAGTGACAGGTATGAAAGGTGCGAGGGGTGGATATCCTGGTGCAATATAGTAAGTGAGGTTTTCACGTAGATAGCTTCTTTGCCCCTCGGGGCTGTTTCCAATATCTGTGTATAACAAATTTCATGTTCATACAAATTTCATGTTCATACAAATTTCATGTTCATACAAATTTCATGCAATTTGCCTCCGGTCCACGTTCACACTCACAGTAATGTACCCTGCCTCACCCCACCCCATCCCATCCCATCCCTCACTCATACCTAAAAAACTGTCCCATCACTAACCACCAAAATCGGACTCCCTTTCCCAACCGGCCTCCTCTCCCTCGCAACCTCCCTCCCCGCCTTCCAAGTACCCGCCTCAAGCAACTGCGCCATACTCAACTCCACACCCGCCATCTTCTGCAGCACCAACTTATACAGACGATCCACCAACACGAGGGTCATAGCACGCCACTCCACGACGACATCATCGCCCGCTGCAAACGCCGGAAGACCTGCATTCTCACCCTTTGCAATACCCGAGTTCGCAGCAGTGGCAAGACCACGTTCCAGCGACGCAGGTTTCAGGTTCAACACACCTAGATCGACGAAGAGACCGCCGTTGCGGTATTCAGGTAGTGCGGTTAGCGCATCTGTGTTTACCCATTTGTGGTGCAGGATACGTGTGAAGGGGACGGTGAGGGAGTATGCGAGCCATTGGGTTAGTTTGTGGAAGGGTTGGATGAAGTTTGTTTCGTCGGTTGTAGTGGAAGCGGAGACGGTTTTCAAGGTACTGAGGGGCCATGCGTCACCGAGTGCTTGGCCGTTGACAACTGTGCGGTCTTGAGGCCAGATGGGGATGAGCAGGGTTTGGAGAATATCCCAGAAGGTTAGGATGTCGAGGGTTGTTCCGTCGGGGGATGTGGTTTTCATGTAGTCTATGTCGGGGTTAGTTGGGATGGGATGGGGTGGGTGTGGTGATGAAAGGGGTAGGGTTTTCGGGATGGATGGACTTACCAACGACATTGCCAGGTCGACCTTCTTTCCCGAAAAGCTCGGGTTGAGAAAGCAGTGACGTGCCTAGACTACGGAGGAGGTTGGCTCGCGACTCCACGCCTAGCATGGGATTCGTGTCTGAGATCTGAAAGCCTCGGGCCAGTTCCTCAGTCTTGAGATCTTGCAATCCCTTACCTACATATCACATTGTCAGCAAAAACCCAACCCCTCCAAACATTTCAAAACTCACCATCAACACACATCCCCCTCCCCGCCGCCATCTCCCCCCCACTCCTAAATGCCCCCTCACGGAACAAATACAAACTCGCCACCGCAATCCCCTCACTACGTTCATACTTGGTTTCAGTCCTCGGTTCCACATAGCGCCAGTGGTCACCGGCCCCCGCATCCAACAGCACAGACACGAAGAAGAGATCGATTAGTCGGCGTGTCGACTCTAGGTCGTCGCAACCGAACTTTTTCCACTCCTCGAGTAGGGCGCCGATGCGCGGGATTCTGCCCACGTCGAAATGCTGCCAGCGGCCGTGGGGTGGGATCGTGTGGTAGTTGGCGGGGCCGAAGTCGCGCTGTAGGGAGGGGATGAGTTGTGTTTGGGTTGGGGGAGGGGGGTCAGGAGGGGTGGAATATGGATACGAGGATATGAGATCTAAACACAACCCACACATACCTCAATAACACGCTTCACATACTCAGCCGCCACATCCAACCTCTCCTCATGAACATCAAAATGCGTCAATTTGCCAGCATCCGCCGCCTCTCCCACCAACTTGGCTCGCTCGCGGACCGCACGCAGCGAAAGGAGGTATTTGACCTTGTCGTCCATTGTAATTGCTAACTATTTACAGGGAATGTGATTGAGATGGAAATTGGGAGAGAAAAGGTGAAGAGATGATCGTGAAGCTGTATGTAGGTTCAACATGTGATGTGTTAAGTACGGTAACAGCTAATGTGGGGTTTAGTGTCACACTGCATGTGGTATAGGTCCGCGTCTTGCCCGAAACAGGGTAGTTTGACGACGTGGAGAGGAACCACTTTTCGTGCTTTACACCCTCGATAAGGAGGACGTCGGCGGTTGCCGATGAATTTACGAATGCTTTGGTGGAATCTGGACACGACTGTTCTTGTGAGATGTTTGACGACACAGAAAATCGGGTTGTTGAGAAGCTGAGAGGTTGAGAATAGACATTTCATTACGGAGAGTTTTATCATCAGTTGCCATTTGGCTGCAAGCGTCGTCGAGCTTAGTAGAGTTAATTTGCTGCTCCGGCTTCCGCCCAAGAGGCTGCATACTCTCCCTCGTATTTCCAAGCTCTTCGACCTCAAATGTCCTTGGTCCACCGGTCTGCAGGGGATCCTGTCCTTTTGTGACAGGAACCCTCTTCGCGTAAAAAAGAAAACAACACACATACACACACGAAAAGCTGCGTAAACAAATGCGACCTGGCGGGTCGCAAGATAAAATGGTACAACTAGCCCTCCCAAAAGGTTTGGAGATGAAAAGCATAATGCGCGATGGAGCCTCCAGCATGTGCGGGGTGTAACCGCATCAAAAAGTGCGAAGCAGGAGTGAGGTGCAAAAATGAGGAGCCTGAACAACGGCGCACCCACCAGAACATGGACAACGGTTCGCCAAAAGATACCCGAGGGTGGAACAAGTAAACCTCTGTGGTGTATCCGCGCTTTACGCTAGGACCTGCCGTACCATGCGAAGAGATATCGTACCCCGGAATCGCCAAAGACGAATGAAAATCAAAAGCAAGCATCGCAGACCAGAAACTGCTTTTGAAGTGAGATGTTGAGACTAAAGGAAATACCGTAGTATCGGATGCGGCATGGGTCATTAATGTAAAGTCAATTAGAGGCGTAGAAAGGCGACGTTGAAATCAATCGTCGCTGTTGAGTGATCGCCCAGGATCGCTGGTCTGTGGCGTTCGCAACTGGGAAGAACTGCCGAAGCTAGACAATTGCTT